CACTGGAGCTAAATCCGCCCTAACATTTGCAAACTCTCCAGAGACAAGCACTGTCAGCACTTGGAAACCTTTCAAGTAGTGATAATCACAGTGAAAATTAATAACACTGCCAACTTGTGTACAACAAGAAACATTTTCTGGAGTCAGATTTTGAAATGAACAGCCCTTGGGCTCCCCAGTAACAGTCCTCTCCATACATGTGAGCTGACTACTGCTAATGACACCTGTGAACTCCGTATCAGAGGAAGGGCTGCTGCTGTTAACAGAAGGGTAAAAGAACAGACTCTCCCAGACATAGTAGCTCCAGTAGCATTCTTGACATCCAAATACACCAGCAACTGTAAACTCTATAAACTGTGTGCATTGTGTCCTGCTTCCAATCAGCTTTCTACCTTCGTTATGTGGATATTGACAAAAGGTTTGTTAAAGAAAGGAGATACCACATCATAATCATTACTTACATGAGTGCTGAGACAAGTAAGAAGATCAGTATTAAGAGAGAATAACCCTACACTTTCATCTTTCAATGCCCAGCTAAACCATCTCCATCTGAATACTGCAGAACAGAAACTGTAGCAGAACCAAGATATTGTAAGCCACATTTGCAACCAATTTATCAAGATCGTGATTAAAAAGTAGGCTCTAGACATCTAGGGAACGAGTGAGAAAACCGAACAGTTGGCTGTGTTTGTGCTAACGAATCCAGGACTTGAAAAGCATCAAAAGAGAGGCAGGACGGAGAGGAGACAGTAGAGAAGGGCCAACAGGGTAATGGTGGGCAAGGGCAGTTACTCCTGAAGAAAATTGCTCCATTTTCTTCATACAGGCCTCTTCAACAGCTGCATGTATGTACTCCCCGCTTCGTTAGTAGGACTACTCTACGGAGACACAGCGCCAGGGTGCTATTCAGAGTGTACAGGGTAAAGCCTTGGAACGTTCCACACGGGGAGCTTCGTTATTACCGGGGGAGGGAGACTAAGTACAATGGCAGCAGAAGGGAAGGTTAGACTGCAAGGTGAGGACAACCGTTATGACAAAGGTGAGAAACACGCAATTAAATTAACGCTAAAAACACAGCAAGAAAGAAAACAAAACATAAACATACTCTGGAACATGTTTTTTTTTTTTTTTTTTTCCCCCTGCGGAGGAAATGGAGAGGAAGAGGAAAAGGAGGGTGCAGTTTGCCCAATCAGAGCTGATTTTTCATTCTGTAATATAAAGGGCAGATTCCTTAATGGCCAAAATAAAAATGCCAGCGGGATGGCAACACATAGTTCCCACTCTATGGGTTGCACTACACATTTTCATCCTGGCAAGAAATGCAATGTAGCTCAGAAACAACAATCCCAGAGTATATTTAGCTACTAAAGCTGTGGCACACAAATGTCACATTCCCATGAGTCAACCCTTTTAAAGAACCCCCTCTTCACACTCCCATAGATATTCCCCAAGATGCCTGCACTGAATTAAAAGTGAAGCATATGGATGGATGTGACATCATCAAAGCACCCGTGTCACAGAAAAGAAAGCAGCAAGTGGATTCTGTACAATTAGTACGATCAGTGAGAAGTCGTTTGTGAGCGCAGGAAAAGAAAGAAAACACTGTCCAAAGAATTAAACACAACCAATGAAGAACACCACAAAGCACTTTGCAAAACAAAGAGAAAATGTTAAAAAAAAAAAAAAAGATTTTTTTTTCTTTGTGAATGTGTGAGGGTAAAAGAAATCACAGCAACAGTGAAAACAAAATCCTTATAAAAGGATAGTAAGCGTAACATTTTCTGATTTAATTTTGCATAAGAACTCTTTCCTTTGCCCCTTTAAAGCAACAATGAATAGTAATTTTGGAGCCAATCGACTCTGACTGGGCAAGGCAAGGAGTAACAGCACACAAGTAGATGGCAATGGTAAACAACCATGCGGTCACCTCTGCCGCCATTGTTTTAATTGTGTGTAGACTGCTTCCAGCTTTGTCAACATTCATAATCAGGCACCAAAGAATGCATGATATTTAAATGACCCTGTCAAGTGCTAATAAGGCTCTTTGGTAACTATCACTCCCTGGGGAGGGAACTATTCAATGTAAGACACCTCATCAGCCAGTGTATTGAAGCAAAAATGATTACAATCCAACAGTATACATTTGTTAATATTTTTAGTGCATGCTCCTCTGAAAGCTGCTACTGGCACGCTTTTAAGAGGTAGCCTTCCACCTATTAAGCACTGCTTTGCAAAAGATTTGTGAAGTATGGAACCACACACAACAAATAGTGCCATTAAAATGCATAAACATCTCTGCATTCCTCTAGGGTATATTAAGAGCCAGATCTTCCACCACGGGCGATTTCTGACACAGCTCCATGACTGATTTCAGCAGAAGAGCTGGGCTCGAGGATCTCTTCCTTCCTCACCAAGTCTGCTTAATGACATCCCCTGCTCTCAGCGTGGAGGAGAGAAAGACACCACTATCCTTCAGAAGTGGGAACATTGCATTTTTAAAGAAATGTCCTCTCATCTCAAGCATTTTGAATACCAGGTGTTACCAAGAGATTGGACAGAAAAAAATGCCTACTTTTCTACTGGCAGCATTGTCATGGATGTATTTCCCAGAGGAAAGAGGAGTGATAGGTAAATCACGTGCCATCTTTAGAGTTGCATACAAGTTTTTTGCCTTCCCTTCTCCACACACATGATACCAAGAAATTGCTTTTTCTGAACTGTTTATCTGAAGCTGAGGAGCAAGCGCTGAGGAATAGGGTTCGAATTCAAAAAATAAGGTTGATACCTCAAATTCGGTTTAAGTAGGAACTAGGAATCTGAGCTTTTCCCTTCAACACCCTCAGTCCCTTGCCACCTAAGTTATGGTTTTGAGCTTAGGTATTGCAACTGCCTGAAATACTGCTTCTGCAGAAGCTCAATAGCCCAACGGTCTGCAGAGTGCTGAAGAGCCTGTGCTGAGAACACATCTAAGCTTGATTAGGTTCTGAAAAATGTACTGTCTTTGCCCCCTTGTTTTTGCAGTTAGTCTCCAAGAAAGTCTACAGGATCAAGCTCTGAAAAATATCTTGGAACAGTAGCCACTTCTAAATCCCACCTGAAGAAAGAAGAGGAAATGGCAGTTTCTCCCTTTTTTTTTTTTTTTGCAGGAAGAGCTAATTGCTGGAAGGAGGGAAACACAAGCTTACACCCTCTGCCTGAGGGAATTCAAACCTTTGTATCCCATTTCCTGCCACCAAGCCCAAAAAAGCCAGGGCTTCTAGATTAATTGTCACCATGGCCTCTTAGGGAATATTACTGGATCTCCTGCCCAATTTGACCAGTCTCCTCAGCTGGAAAAGTGCCTCAGGCTCCAGCCCTGTGGGGCCAGCCAGGTGATATACATTGCCTTCTTGGCTGGGAACTGTGAAGGCTCTTTGCAGACAACCCTGGAGAGTCCAGTGAGAAATCCAGGATATTCACAGGACCGTGGGAGGCACTGTGTGTCTGGAGCAGTTGTGAATTCCAGGCGCTATGAATTCATAGTCTGGATCCAGACTGCTGTCAGCTGTTTGTGCAGCTCTGCTAAAAGCTGTTCCGCAATGTTAACGTGCTAATATACCCACTGCTGAAAGTCTCCACAGTGCATGTAGAGAATTCAGAGATTCAGTGGGTCAGAGAGAAGGGAAGGAGCTTGATTTAGTAACCTAGTAGCTTGGGCAGACAACTCAGACCAGCAGGTCCAGCATACTAGTCGCTTCTCCAAGAACAACTGATGCTTTTATCTAATGACTTTTTCATGTAAAATGCATGAACAATAGAGACTGGAATCCACCTTTCAATTAATATTTTAAGTGTTTTATATAAAGTAGTCATAGTAGCAAGGACTGAAGCCCATGTGTGTCCTCACCTGTGGTGCAAGCCCTAAACACTCAGCAAGTGAGTTTTGCTTATAAACATCCTTCTGGCCCACTGCGTACTTAATTAGTCAGTACAGGGTGGCACATCTTCAACAAAGAGACTGAAAGAACACCCTAGAAAAGACGGGCAGGGAGTCAAATATCTCCAGGCACAGGAGCCATTTCAATCCAAGTCTTGCTATTTACAAAGAAATCATTTTAACCTCTCTGAGATACTGTTTAAAAGGAGCTGAAAGAATGATGAGGGCCATGATGGACTGATGGAACACCATCACCCCTCTTTAGGAGAAGAGCTTCTCCTTTTCTAAGCAGGCAATTCTCTGCCTAATTCTCCTCAGGTATAGCAAAGGAAGACTGTAGGCCAAGTGAGAGGGTTATCACTCGTATTAGACAGAAATGTGCTTCAAAGTGGAGCACAGTACTGAACATTTTGAAACAACACCTAAATTCTAACCTTTTGAGGCTTTGCAAATGCTAAACAGAATCTGTTTCCACGAGCAGTCACCTAAGTGTCTTTTGAAATAAGCTAATGATCTCTTCCACTCCGATTCTCAAAAGTATTTGATGCTCAGGTCTCACTAAAGACACTGGGATTTAGGTTCAGTTACTAGGACCTGTGCTATTTTAACTCCACTGAGTTAAATTAGTGCAGACCTTTGTGCTGCAGTACCTGTATTACCCTAACTCATACAGAAATAATGTGAAGTTAGCTGAGATCTGTTGTGCTCTCCTGGAAATTCAGAAAAAAAGGCAATGTAGAAGTGCACACTTAAGAATGATGGAAAGCCACAAATCTTACATAGTCAGACAATGGGGAAGGTCAAGTTTAAACGGAGTTCAATCCCCACTGTCTTCCCTCCTCTCCATCCATATGCACAACACACTGCAAAGGCATACGCTCCTATTTGTTTTGTGTGGTTTCCTTAGGCAGTGAGTATCTAGTACTGAGTCTGAGATTGACTATCTAGTTTCTGACTTTACGATAAGCTTTTGATTATAGCAAAGGAATTTTATTACATGTTCCTCTGAGCCAGCTGGAAGCAGTTACACTTTAGTCCTCCCCCCCTCCCTCTCCACCACAGGAAGTCATTTCCAAGGCCTTACCCTTCTTGTCTTGATGATTATGGGATGAAACTGCCACATATGGATCTGTATTTTCAGATGAGCCAACCGGATCCTTCCAATCCAGCATGCGTCCCCTAGTATCATAACCCTGTCGAGCGCGAGAGTCAGAAGTGGTGGTGCTTGGAACTAGTGAACTGGAGTGTCCTGTTTACATTATAAATACAGTTAGGGAAGACAAGTCTCATTAGTCACTTACCAGGCTATTATCTCAGGAGCATAAGCATTGCTTTTCTTCAGTGATGGATGAATGTCTTAGACTGAACAATGTTGTAAAAGTCTTTCAAAGCATTGCCCAAAGGAAGTACAGAATTTGAACCTTTCAGATCAGCCAGCCAAACTATTGTTAATAAGTACGCACATGCCTTTGGCTGCAGATCAATTCAAGGCTATGTGTTTTCACTCAACAGAGTTGAATGAGTGCAGAACAGTGTGAACACACTTCATTTGAGTCAAATGTTCTTTCGGCTGAATTCAGTACACAGGCTTGGCTGACGCTGAAGTGTGAATCCACAATGCTTGGCACTTTGTTTAGTTAAAAACAATTAAAAAAAAAATTTAAGTGTTAAAATGAAACAACTTCTAATATGGCCAAAACTGAAGGAGAATGCCAGAAGAACTACAAAATATGTCATCAGCTGCTCTCTGCCTCCTATCCCAAAGGCTGCCCTGAACCTGTGTGTTTGCACTGGGGCATTGCCCTTTGGATGGCACGTGTACAGGGCCTGTCAGTGGCTCACACCCATGTCCACGCTCTCCACTGGTCTTGTCCAAACACATGTCCTAAAATGGCTCCGAGATAAGGGGAGCTAGCAAGAAACTGAACATTATTTCCGCTCGAATTAACAGTGAAGGCAATACCTTACTACACAAAATCTGTTCAAGAACTCACAGTTCCAGCGGCTACAGCCTCCAAATCACATTTGGCTATTAGCCCTCTCAGGACAGAGACTTTGCATTTTTTATTCATTCTGGACCCTTTCAAATGTTCACTTGCCCTTTTTAAGGAGAAACGTTTAGAATCTTATCCACTTCTTGCTTGTCACATAGATATTGGAGTTCAGTGTAATCATCTTGACTAGAGGAGAAGTTTATAGCCCTGTTTCGCTAAGTTTTACAACTACCCTAGACATTGTTATTGCTGTTCTTAATAAGCATGCTGAGGAAATCCCCTCTGATCAAATAAATCCTAACAAACACCATGTTTACAGAACATGCCCCACGAGAAACATAAGGCAATTTTAACAGCGGTTTGGCTTGGGCAGAGATGTATTTGTAAATTATTATATCCTTTATAGCTAAATCTCGAGAAGTACGTTAGCACCCAAAGCGTGATGTACTTGCCGTCTAGGTCTCTGAATCTCAAGTGGCAATCTGGAATTCCCAAATTCCACCAACACTACATTTTCACCTTATAATTCCAGGTGTCTCTGAAAGTTCCCTTTCAGCATGTGATCAAAATGAGTCATTTTCAGCAGGCCTCAGATAGCTCTGAGCCTAGTTAATTTGACAAGGCATAACTACGTTTCCCTTTACCTACTTTCCTGAAAGAACCCAACAAGACAGGCACTTTCAAAACATGCTCAGACGTAAACAGAATCAGATTACTCACAGACAGAAACGGCAGATAATGCTTTCTTCTGAGATCCTGCTACATGGGCTCTTTCTTACCAGCCCTCGTTTGCTCCCCCCTTCTTTTGAACAGCCTAGCAACTTAGTTTTATGTCCTTAGATGGGAGTCTCCTTTAGAGAGGAGCCCACTCACCAGGCTACAGGCTGCTACTCTAGCAGGGGGGCTTTCCATTCTGTCCCTTATGTTGTACCACTGCTCAGAAAAAGAATTCACAACTCCGTGAGACGGAGATACAGCAACCAAAGGAGCCCAAATTTGGAGCCTCACAGCAGCAACACAAGGAGCCCAAATTTGGAGTCTCACGGTGAAGGCATAGAGCTGGGAGGGAAGGAGACTGTGCTTCAGTATTTTGTATTAAACAGTCCCTGGATACAAATAAAGCTTTGAAAAGCTGTATTTCGAAAAGGCTGATTTTGGTGGCTTCTGGATCTTAGCCATTCTGGACCCTGCTCTGAGAAGCTTAATTCTCTGCCATGTGTAGAGGGCTGATGAACCGAGGATTCTCAATTCCGTTTTAGTAACCAAAAATCTAAATGCTGGCCATCAGTGTTCCCAAGCTTTTTGATGCAGCCATGTCCTTTGTTTTATCTAGCCCTTTTAACAGCTTCACAAGGTTGAACTACCAATGAAGTCGCCAAAAAGGTGTAGCTTCTATTAAGATGCTGCTATGATTTAAGGAAGTCCTGCTGAGTATTAATGATCTCGGAAAAGAAGATGTCTGTGCTCCTCCATGTACTTTCCAGGGGCCTTTCTGATTTACTGCACAGGATTATACTCTGAATTGTATTTTGGACAGCACTCTGGACTGAATTTTGCATTTCGTTACACCTCGCAAGGAAAGTTGGTCAGATTCACAGTGTTTTCACCATGGATCCAGCCTTCAGATGCTACTGCTGATTATTAACATGATTAACATAGCTTGGACCTCAGGCTGAAGGCTTAAACTGACAAGGGCACTGTACTATTCTCTGTCCCTCACGACAGGAAGTGTGGTTTTCCGCCAGCCGTCTTTCTTTAACGCTGCAAATTAGAGGCTGTATTTTGTTTGAAGACAAAGTTTTTAAATGTTGCTCAAATAGAAAAGTGAAGCCAAGCAGATTATCCACTTCTAAAAGGTTTCCATAAGCTGCAGAGCATGGCTGGATGTATTGGTAACAGTTAGATGGATGGATTCCGATCCAAATTTGCTGCCTGCTCTGCAGCAGTTCCACAGGGCTGCCTGTTTCTAACAGGACTGGTACAGATCCAACTAGAGAAAGCATGTGCTCCCTTGAAGCAGGAATATGCTGGAATGGTAAAGCTTTCACTTCTATACCATGTTATGCTTGTCAGCTCCTGTACTCATCCCCAAGAAATAAGAGAAACAATGGGACAGAAAACAGGCCAGAAAGTGGAAATTATGAGATTTCCATGTCTTCTTTTCCCTAAAGACTAAACCATATTGCCAGCGCTCATGGGGTTCCAGTCTCCGAGTTAATACCTCATTGAACAACCACAATATTGTGTACAATATTTGGTCAGCCTACAAATAGTGCTGCACTCAACACAAGAAAGCAATTAGTCAGAGCTTGATAAGGAGGTAGAAGAGAAGAAAGTCTTGCCAAGTAGCGCTCATATTTTATACATGTGTTTGATATGCATTTTATGCCCATATCTCTGTCCAGACACTTTCAATTTAGGTGTGTTCAAGGGGCAATTTTAAGGAAAAGCCAAAAGTATAGTTAAAGAAAAACATTTCTTAATACAGTAATCTGGAGGAAATACATGCCTTAGGGACACATTTTCTGCAAAAAGATTTCCTGAACCATATGCTACAAATGCACGGAGAACTCCTTGGTAATGGAAAGCTAAGGCTTTGTGACGATATTAATGCGTACCAGATGGTTGTTAGGTAGAGAAGGGTTTCACACAAATGCGAGAAATCAGTCTATACGCTCTGTTACTAATGTGTTAGTCTAGTACACATTGAGAAACAATTTTCCACGTGTACTGCAACAAACTTTCTTCCATTTGATTTACTAAAGAGAGGAAGCAGGGCAGGAGCAGATTAGAGTTTAATAACCTTTCTCACTTGTGTGAGAGCCATATTCTGCAAACACTTACTACTGGGCAGTGGCTGGTCCCATAAGCAATATTACTGTGTCTTGTAAGTGTTTGCATAGTCAGTCCCACTGCATGAAATTCACCTTTAAGCAGAGTGGCACCACAGATGTATGAGCTAGTTAAGTTACCCTCATAAACAGAGAAAAGACTGAAGTGGCAGGCAACCTAGTCCTGGTCCTTTCACCCACAGCCATTATGAAACCTTCACCATGTGCCATATAGCTTGCAAATCATAATGGGCCTTTTTTTCATTACACCATTTTTACCACTCTGACTACGTAAATAGGTTTTGCTGTAATTCAAGGAGGCTTTAGCATATGTGAGATGCAGCCAGTACCTCTATATTGACATAGGCTAGCTTGTAATACACTTAAACATCTAAAATAATGATTCTGCCTTTGTTTTAAAACAAGCCATCTGAAAAAAATGCAGATACAGTGCTTTACAAACTTATCTGTTTAAAGCAAATATGTAAAAACAACAAACACTTCAAAAAAAAAACTATTTTAGGTGCTTCAGTTGTTCACAAAACTTTTCATTTGGAATACTATAATCACAGTTACACCTGGAGAGTAAAAACACTTTATGTCTATAAGCATGGATAATGATTCAGAACGGCTGCACTTCTGTAACTACAGCTCGTTCTGAAGTGTACTTGTAAAATATAAGGGGATTTTTCTTATGCTTTAAAACAAAGACAGGGATTCAATATGTGTTTGCTAGTTGCTCTAATATGCACAAGTCATTAGGATACTAGAGGTTAAGACGTCCACACACTATCCTATTAACAGCTATAGCAACCTAATTAGGCAATTAGAGGGAAAGGCTAAGTCAATACTACAGAGGGAGAAAGGAATGTGGCTAGGGGGTACAATAAGGGCCCAATTCACTAAGAATCGATGTTTCCAACTATAATTGAAACTGCTCACAATTTGGCAGAAGAATCTAGCCTAATCTTTTTGTTTAAGTCTGTGGCTCTTGCATCATTTCTCTCTGACCTTCTGCAGCCAGACCTTCAGCATGCTATCTTCTCCTTGGGTGTGAAAAGAGAATGTACTTGAACAGTTATCTGCGGACTCTGCACTTTGTTGCTTGTTGACAACTGATCACGTGAGGCTGCCCCAGAAAAGGGAGCCCATCTGCCAAATTCAGGAGGATGCTGATGCCAAGAATACAAAGATTAAGGGCTTGATTCGCCTTTCATTCACACTGATACAGACTGTCAGTTAAGTCCACTGAAGTGAGCCGATTTATACCGGTAGAAATCAAGTGAGAAGAGAATCAGGCCTTGAGATGTCTTTTGCATCTGGAGTTTCAGATGCCTTTGGATATATTTAACTCACCAGATCCAAAGGCACTCTGAGCATTTGTTTGACTGGCATTCTGGTATACCTCACTGTTCTGAGGTCTAACCCGTTACGAAATACTGTTTACTTATTGTATTTACTTATTGCATTTAATTGTACTCAATAACACAAAAAAGCACCATTTATAAAAATTTAGTTTTCTCATGCAAAAAATGACTCAGAGCAGTCTTAACAGTTAGCAAACACGAGCATGTTTACTGAGACTGGTTTACTGAGTAACGCTGGAATTTTTTTACACTCATGTGGAAGATGAATAGAGGTGACGAACACATTTTCCTTATGTATTTTGCCTGAGCACATAGTAGGTGAAAACACTGACTGCCAGCTATGCAGTAACATCAGAACTGGTATTTCAACTAAACTCATAAAAGAAGAGCTGTCTTGCCGAGTGACCATGTATCATGATCTACCCAAGGAACGTCAGTGAAATCACCGTGAAAGACGGGGCATCAATGGGAACCAAACGTAATGTTGGCTCAGCATTTCTCCATTGCATCTGATAGTAGGACCCTATTTTAAGAACTGAATTCAGTACATGGCATCTGTGTTTGGACTTGACATGGGTAGACAGTAGAACTGACTCCTTGTGTTACCTATGCCCTTTGGGACTGCAGCTTTTTTCACTTTACCTCTCCTTTGGGCCACTTTCCCGATTCCATGGTCAGGTGAAAAGACTCGCTTTTGCTAGAGTCCCTGCTATTATGGTAGCTGATGGGATCCAGAATTACAGCCCCACAGCTACAACTGTGCAGCCTATGGGCACACTTAGAAGTGGGAAGCCTAAGATATTCCTGGTACATCAGCACTATGCCTAAGGCCATTTTCTTTTTCTTCAGACTCAGCAGTATGGATTTTATTATTATTCTTTAATTACTGCTTTGTGGATTGGAAATGTAAGTTTTCAACTGAAAGAAAGTACAAGCTCTGTATGCAGATGAAACCATCAGCCTTCCATACATTACAAAGTCTCAACTTGTCTTTGATTTTTATATACTGCATTCACTGGTTTTCCTTATCATACTTGCAAACAAGTTTCACCTCCACATTTTCCATTTCCTGATGATAAGAAACATGGGGAATTTTATTTTCTTTTTAGCACTGAGCAATATTACTGTGCCTGTAGTTATTTATAATCTGCTTTACTGAGCTGTCGTTGGTTCTGTTTTGTACTTACATATTTCACAGGCACAAGACGAAGGGATCAATCTAATGTGCATCATCACAACTGCACACTAACCTGTATCTAGTTACATTCAGCCAAACACATGGTAATTGTCCCAGCTTTGATGAACTGTTAGTTTTGTACTGCCTCAGAAAAACCTCACGGGTAAGCTCCCCATCCCACACAGAAATTTGCCACTGACTTCACTGGGAGCAATACTACACATCCTCTTAGCTTGTGAGTGCTTGCCATTGTTCAGGTCGTCTATAAAGAGAAGCTATTACAATATAATTCTAGGTTTAAAGTAATTATTTATTCTGCAATAATTCCCCATGTAGACACTTATTCTGCACTCCAAGCGCCTACTTATACTTTAGTGTAATCCACTTCCAAATAGACTGAGCAAGGCGGCACAAAGTACTGTGAGTGCAGGTTAACAGTTGCCTGGAGGGAGGCTACTACTCTGTGCTACCAGAAACGCTCCTCTTCAGCTCTGGTCATTTAATTAGCTGTGTGAATCCCCTTGTTCTCACAGGCCAGGCACCATCAGGGCATTAAGATACTGCAAGTGCAGATGACATAAATGACTCACTCTGATAGTGACAGAAACCTTTAGGATTCAAGGCATAACCCAACCTCAGCTGACAAACGTAACAGCGCAATTTTCCTTATGAAAGCTCCTTCTGTAACCCAGGGACAGTTCTGCTCATTTCCCTGTGTTATCTGTGACGGGCTGCTGTCGCAATCAAGACACCAGCCTGGATGAATCGTGAGTGGGTCCAAGGTGCTATCTTCTTTTTTCCAGTGAACAGATAAGATGTATCACTATACCTAAGTGTTCTTCTCCTGAGTGTTCAGATGAAGCATGCTCTTTATCATGTTTGCTGGAGTGCTGTTAAAACTGGCCATACGCGACTTTAATTCAATTGAGTTTTGAGGGAGGACTAAGAAAAGAGGGACTGAAAATCAAGAGGTACGGCTTAATTCTATTTGCGATTAGTGAATCAGGCCCTCAAAAATGAGACAAAACAAATAAAAAAGGGTAATGACTATTTGAGGACAGGAACTACCAGCTAACACAAGGATCTGGGGAGAATTTTTGAAAACATCCATAGACTGACCATACACTGTGTTGTAAGACATTTCATGATCAGGTGAAGCAGTTGAAATGTCTATGAAAAAGATAAATTGGGAAGAAACATTAAATAAAACAGAAGTGTGAAAATACTTCAAAGTTTCGTAAAAATGATTCCTCCAGAACTGATTTACTGACAATAAATAATGAAACTAAGAGCTTCCTTACCATTCAGGGCTACGAAGGAATCTGAAAGACAAATAACAGGGGAAAAAATCATTATTTCTCTCTCTTTTTTTTCTTTTTAATTTGTTTGCTGCTAACAACCTTTTATGCTTCAGCTAATATTTACATGTATGTGATTAGTACCCTAAGGACACAGGCAAAACTAATATTCAGCTATACCTGAAAACAATGTCTGACCTTTAGGTGTTCATGATCAGCCCTGCGCAAGGGGTACCAAGTTGAAAGACCAGTTTTCTCCCTGCCATGGCTTTCTTTGCAAGATCAAGCCCTAATTTAACACAAGGCACATCAAGTGATGCAGCCAGCAACGTGAGTCAATGAGGACAAAACTCACATGATACAAGATCACATGAAGTAATAAGATAAGCCGGGTTAGCCTGGAGTGAAATCTACCCCTGTGCAATGCCAAGGTTCAATGCATCATTCAGGTCTGAAGAGGGGTTTAAGCAGGGTGCTGGCTTTGTTGTTCTCTGTACAGGAGTGGATCTCTCTCAGTGAGCACAATTTGCTCTTTCTGAATCATTTCCTACCCTTTTTTTTTTTTTTTTATATATATATAACTGATATCATCTACACTCTACTCCTGTTTAATCTATTCGGCCAAGAAGAGCAGAACTAAGCTGATATCTGAAAAGGGCAAAGTTGTACCAGCTGAGAACTGACCTGATTCTGGCGCTATCCCATTTTACAGGGAGCACGGGAAGAACTGTGTGGACACCTCGTTCAAAAGACAAAGACTGCTAAGTAATCTTATCTTAGGGCAAAACCAGAGGGAGGTGTAGCTAAGATGGAGGCATGCAGAGGCTGAAATGCTTGTACTCCCTCAAGCACAGTGATCACAATAATAAATGACCCTTGAGTAAGGATGCACAAGGCATGGGAAGGCTCTGGCATTTCCATAGAAGCTGGCCTGCAATGTATCCTGGGGCACACTCTAGCCTTCTTGTTATTTTGCTCTGTATTCCCAAAAGTAACAACTCCCTGTACATTACCTCCTCAGCTTCTCGCCCTTTTATTGCATCTAAAGGCAGCAGTGCAAATTGCACCAAAAAGAATGTGGTTTTTGTGTCATAAAGTTTATAAATAATATTTGGGGCTCAGAACTGAACTGAACTTGGCAAGAACATCTGGAACGAGAGCTGTCTTAACACAGCTGTTGGTAATCCTGAAGGCTCAGAAATCAGCATGCAAAGTTTCTTTAAACTTTAATGCTAGCTTGTCCAGCTTGTGTGTGAAATTCAGTAAGATTCACAAATTAAGTATTTCTCCCTTCTTGATTCTGGATCCCAAACCAAAGAGGTATTCTCACTGTCTCCCTGTCTTACACGGGAGCACAGTCCAGGTCACTTTCTACAACAGGAAACCAAGCCCCTTCTGCACCTCTACCTGAGCAAAGCAGTCCATCCACTATGGCGAATAAAGAAAATGAACATCCAGTTCATTGTATCATTGCTATAATCAATAGCCTCTAAAAGCTGGGGTTTTCTCACCACATAGCCATTATGAAGTCCGGTGTTTGTATAAATCGCACTAAGTGGGATATTTTCTTTAAGCGTGTTTGAACAAGTGTTCCTCCTGAACCTGCTTCTTGATGTCCCTGTTGTGGCTTACATTGCTATGACAGAACACCTGACAGGTAATGATGATTTGAGGCATTCAGAAAGATTCTGTAACATACGGTAAATGGAGGGTAAAAGCTTTGCTTACTTTGGCAGTCACCCAGGCCGTCTGTATTGCCATGTTCTATGTCCTGTTCAAATGCCAGTCTAAATAATAGAAAGAAACATAACAGTATGAATAACAACAGTCACAGATACTACTAGAAAAAAATTATCACATTTACAACTGAAATGAAGACGCAGTGAAACTGGTCATTTCTTTGGAACTCCCATACACAGCTTGAAAGATTGCAACATAGGCATTTACTTGTCATCTCTTAATGATTCCTTGGCTCCTGATGATGCAACCTGCATTTTAAAGGATATTTAGGTACTGCACTGAACGAAATTACAAGGCCTAGAGCCCAGACTGCAAAAGGAATTCCACTGAACTTAAACTCTAACTATAAATACTTACAGGCTTTTCTAGCTGACACCCCCAGTTTAGGCTCCTAACCTGTGCCTGTGATTTTGGATAACTAGTGAGGCTGTTCTTCCAAGTTCCCTGTATAGCCAATGGCGAGTGACAAGAGCCTTGGAAAACCTCCAGCATAAGCTCTCACCTATGTTAGTTTGCATAGTGCCGTTAAGGCCTAACCGCTCTCGTAGGAACCTAGTTCCGGACTCTAGGTTCTTAAAATTCCTGTTCAACTGCTACCTACTCCAGGAGGGCACCTAAAGTCTGTTCCTGTTGGATAATTTAGAAGCTCACCAGCCAGCTTAACAGTTGTTCTGGATTTCCTTCCTAAGAGCTATGTACTGGACCGAGAGCTACCTGCCTAGCTCACCTGTGGGCTGCACCACAGCAAGCTGCAGTGCCTCTGTCCATTGGTAAATACAGGAGCCGCTTTTGCGAGGAATGTAACAAATCCCCCAAATCTTGCTATGGCAAGTGGGAAAAACCTCAAATACCTTGAGAACGTTGGTAAGTTTTTGAGAAAAACTGATATACACACAGACGGACTTTAACATTATTTTACCAAACGATCTGTCAGGAACAATCCATGCTCTTGTTATAATGCATATATACAGATATAGCTATAACATCCACACTGGATCGTTAACAAAATAATCTCAATTAATATAGCAAATTAAGAACCTAATACAAGCATAGGGATGATAACTCATAGGAATGATAACTCATCCATTCCATATACTGAAGACCCATACGGAAGCAGGGTTAAGCTAGGCTTGGGGTAGGGCTATTGAGGTTATCTGATGTTTACGCTACACTTGTACCACTATCTTGAGGACATGTAACCACACCTCAAAGAGGGCGACTGCGAGGTGTGTCAGATGTGGCCAAGAAAAGAGAGCTCTGAACTGGATCTGTTCCCTACAAGGAAGCTTTAGCAACTGTATTTAAGCAAGCTCTCTGAGCCTTTTGCTATTATAAAAAATTAAATCCTACTGTTAAGCAAAGGGAGATCCAGCACTACTCCGAATCTGCTTTCAGCTCTTACTGTGCTCTGTGATTCCTCTTAGCAATGCACAGTAAATTAGAAGGACTGGTTTTGTTTTCAGTGGACAAACTGCTTCAGTAACCTAATTTGGATTCTACTGCCTCTTTAATCAGCTGTGATGGCTCCAGTGTGGGCTGGTCCAGACACACTTATCCAGTTCCCTCCTTTCAACAACACGTGGCCCTTAGTACGGTTCTTTCATTTTCTTCTTCCTGCTCTTTCAGCTGAGAGTTAGCATGAAAAACACCAAGAAATTTCAGAGACTGCAAATAAGGCAGAAACAAATACTTCACACATTTTTCTTCCTGAGAGCCCCATGTTTCAAACAACTCTGTCCAAATTTGCCTGGCGCCACTGTCAGAGTCTCACAGTCCACCCAGTGAAAGCCATTACTTACTTAGCACCAAGTGCCAGTTGTGTGCATGCCCCACTCTCCTTCACCCAGCCACAGTACGGGTCCCTGGCACCAGGGCTTCCGACAACATGGCAAGCGCTACCACGAAACACATACTTTTTACATTTGCCATGACGCTCACAACGTCCCAGGGGAACCTTCACGACACAGGTAGAGAAGGCAACATAAAGGGCACTGCTTTGTTTGTCAAGCTGCATACCCATAATCCTCTTGTCTTCCACTCCGTCGTAACTGCACCTGATTTGACAAAGTGAGATAATATTATAAATGAGTTCTGCTGGGAAACTAGGTGACAACTTCATGATTCCTTAAGCTGAAGGAAAAAAATGAGAAAAGGAGAACTGATCAAGCCAAGGAGAAAGAATACACAATAGCCATTAGAAATACTGATAAAAAGATATTTAAGCAAATGTTAAAAATGCACGGGACAGGGGAATGAGAAGAAGTAGAGAGGGACTGCACACCAGACAAGCTCTCTGAGGGTCCTTCAGTTTTTGTGTTTTTTCTTCTCCAGCACTCAAAGTAGCTGAAACGTCTGCATGTTTATAGCACACTTCAAAACCTCCCTAGGCATATTTGAGAAAGGCTGAAATCCAGGAAATTTCCCTTGGAGAGTGGCTTGCTGATTGGTGAGTTGGTTGGAGAGGAATCAGGTTTTTTTACAGGATTAGGAAATTAATCTTTTCTTTGCTGAATTTCACTTCTAATTATCCATCAACTGCTGCGTAGGATGGTCTATTTTCTACACATATTGAATAAAAAATATTTTATTTCCATGTAGAGACTCACAACCAGACATCCCCCACCCCCAAACAAACACTTAAAATGACTCAAAAAACTTGGCTTCTGTAGCCATTTCCCTTTTCAGGGGACAACCTGCTCTCAAGAAAATCGAAAGTGTCAAAGCTGTCCATAGATGAGAACAAAGATTCGGATACCCACTTGTCAGGATTGTAAACGTTCATCTCCTCCAGGAAAAGGCTATCATTTAGGAAACCGCTGTTTCCTGTCCGGGCCAAGAACTTCAAGATGATTCCCTTCTCTGATCCCAAGAAAACCACAGTGTAGTTCTGATACGGCCCAGCGGCAGAGTCTACAGCAATTTTGGTCAGGCGGTACCTAGAATAACAATACAGCATTTTTCACCACTTGGGTTAGGTTGTCATTTATTTTATCACTTTTTTCCACTTCAAATAACTTTGCGGTAGCCTTCTAGCAACCATATAACATATTTAAGCATTTTTTTCTGGCTGAATAACCCCATAAGCCAACACAGACTGTACCAGTTGGGCTCCCCAAATGGTGGGGCATTTTCGTGTGCGTGCATGTCCGTATGTCAAATAGCTCGCAGAAGTGTTTGCAGCAGCACACCTCAAGCAGAATGCTGAAGGGGTGTTAAGAGTCTGAAACCACTTAGGAATTATCCTTCCAATCAAAAGCAAAGTACTAGCCTGATGACTTCTACAGGCAGAAAAAAAAAATCAGTGCAGGAAATTTTTTTAATTTCAAGCTCTGTCACATTAAAAGTAGCAACAGTGATAACAGACCCATATTCAACTTTTTGGCAGGAATAGCTGTACCAGTGCAACACTGACGAGCTAAATGCCATTTTATCTGACGAAAAATAATCACACAGCAGCCACCAAGTGTGTTCAGTGCTGAGATGATATTGATATGTGATCTTGGGATCACATAACTAATTGAAAACAAGTACTGGTGATCTGGTATTGGTGATTAAAAGAAAGCACTCTAGGAAGCGTGGTGGCCTCCTCTTTGGCTAAGGAATTTGGCTATTTGGCTAGAATACAGCCAGACAATATCCCTGGGCTTGAAACCACCAGCTCTTTGGAAACTCCAGTTATGATACTCTCATAGCACATCTCCTCAGCAGCATGGTTTACTGTGCCCTCACAACACCTCACCTTTCCTCTTTGTACCTACCAGCTGTTCACAGAGCACAGAATCAAGTTTAAAGTCTCTCTTTAATCTTAAGGTGCCCCAGTCCCGGGCCATCTGCTCCCAAGTGATGTCTCTGACATAAGGTAGCTGGAAGTTAAAGATCATCCATATGGGAAGCAGCTTGTCAAGGCCTAACTAAAAATCCTATAATCGATTCCCATAAGAGCAAAACATCACCACTTTTTGCTTGGAGTCCAAATGACTTTCTTTGACCTGACTTAGCTCTAAGATAAACACCTAACAAAATGTACGTTATTAAAACAAAGTCACACCCTCCCACAGCCAAACATAACCAAGCACAAAACACTATCCTTGTGCAGATGGAGAGAGGAAAATGTGACAAAAGTGAGTCACATTATTTCATTCACAAGTGGAGGGTAGACAAGCAGTCTAGTGACCACAACATTATACAGCAGCGGGAATGTATTTTCAGAGGAAGGGGATGGCACGTTTGAGGGTTGTTGATTTATGAGTCTTTGTTCAAATCTCCTCATTACTATTTTTCTCTTGTTGCCATAGAAGGGATAGGGATTATGCTATTATTTCTGCTTGCACACTTGTGTAAACAGTGAAACATACCAGTACATATCCCGACAGACATCTTCATATCCTGTGAACATATCCTGGCAGACATCTTTGTATCCTGTGTACATATCCCTGAGCTATCTGTTGATCTTTGCCCAAGGTTTTCTACAGAGCTGTCTCCAACACTAACCCATAAGCCAACAGGCAGGGCAACCTTCGCTGCTCTGTATTTCCTCCAAGATCCGGTTTCAAAACAGCATGGCTGGAAAGGACTGAGGTTTTTTCCAATCTTGAAAGCTGCTCAGGGAGTACTATGGCATCTACTCAGCACTGTCATCCTTCCTAGTTGGATTCAGGCCCAGCACACCAGGGATGTTTACAGAATTTAACAGTATTCTAAGTATGGTTATTAGCACAACTTGACAGCATAAGATGAGGAGAAGAGTCCATTTGGAGGTATTTACCTGACCATCGTTCTCAGGAACCAAGGTCGATTGACAATAGAAGGTACAGCTTCATCCATCAGTGGATGTGTTTTGATGAAGTTCAGAGTATCATCCGGGAACTCATTAGAGGTCATGTACTTTTCTAATGATGTAGAGCCAGCACAGCAACCTGGCCTAAATAAAACAAGAGGGGGAAGCCAGAACACTTATTTGATGCCTAAGTGCAAGTCTCCTTTCCCTAACACCTGTGATGAGGCACTGCAGTGAAATCTGAAGTGCATTAGAAGGGGTTAAATGAAGGATTGGGCTTGTTCAGCCCCTCAGTGGAGCCTAAAATCCTGCTCTATCCTCCACTCAGAAGTACTTCCATGTGTTGCCACCTAAAAGCACACAGACATTTCTTTAGCAGAAGTTTCACCCAGAATTTGTAGTTCATCTGCTCACATGGAACCTAATCGTTGTATTTACGTATTTGGCTTGATACAGTTCACCAGCACAGATGCTTTCGGATTTTTAATTTGTCTGTCTATCTTACTGCTGTTTCCTGGAATAAAAGCAACCACCCTAACAAACAGAGGAAACTGCTTTTTTTTTTTTTTAACATTGGTTAAATAACACTGCTTCCAGTACTGTTTGGAAGAAAGAGGACTATTGGGGAAGACAATCCAGCAAGTATTCATGTAAACATTTGCTTCACCCTTCTTTCCATTTGGATGAGAGAACTCCAGTGCTGTAGCACATACAAGAGTCTCACCGAGATGTTAGCTAACTGTTCTCGGACAATCTCAATACAAATCTACACACCGTATTCCTAAAAACTGCCCTGCTCCTCTTAGGCAACCTAATTTCCTGCATGGACAGGTTATCTCTAAACAGGGAGCAGCAAAACTCTTTGTCTGTCATTATCATTTTCTGGATTATCTTCTCCCAACAGAAGGTTAATTTGCTCCCTTTCCCAGACCATTGCAATTCTTTAGGTTTTGAGCCACTGCAAGGCGGAGGGTGAAAGACTGATCATCCACTTAGAAATATGCCATAGCATCCAATCTTCACATGGTCTCAAGGGGGTAAAGCCACTGACATCAACAGAGTAATGCCACCTTGAACAAAATGCAACGCTGGTCCCGTTACATCTGTTCCTCACATTTGTATAAATATTCAAACGTTAGGTTACTAAATGTTACGCAGGAAGGTAACACAGCATAACACAGGACTAGAGGGGACTAACTGGGTCAGTGAATTTGGTTCCGCACAACTGTGCAATGGACGTTACATGCAGAGACTGTGTGCTCTGCCTCTCCATATGCAAAATACTTCGATTGTCTTGTAACTGCATATAGAATTAGCCATAAGGGAAGAGAAGGAGAAATCAAAGAAATCACCAGTCTCCTAGGTCCTTCCAAGGACATTGATTCATTGGGTGAAATTCCCAGAGAAGTCTAGGGAGCAGACTACGTCTTCTGCTACAGCGGTTCCTGGGGTTTCTGTAAATCTGATCCTATTTCTTCCTAAATCCTAATCACATAATTGGATTAACCCTGTTTTAATCTCTCTGCTGGTTTAATCGAGCAAACACTAAACTGAGTAAACCTTGCTGTCCATCTCAGAGAAAAAGAGAAGCTAGGCCCCTAAAAGATTCCAGTATGATTCTGAGAAACGCTAGCACTGATAGAAGCACTGATGTTTCTGCCCCAAATTGAGATGTTCGAATAAAAATTACCCCATTTTCAAAGGCGTCTTGTGCCCCCCTCTCTTATGAATTTCAACCTGAGTTACAAGTAACGATTATTTCTACTAGGTAGATTGATGGCCAAATGTTATATGAAACATTATTCACCAATTCAGCTCATGTTACCTGCTAATGACCTAGAAGAAGCAGTATTATCCCATCTTCCAATGTAACTGTTAGCCTGCTATTGGCTCAGCCCACAAACTTGCAGCGCAACTTTCTCTTCTCCCGTCCCACTGGAAAAAACAGTTCTCTTTTTTCCCCTTCCCGGCAAAATCCCCTATATGAACATGAGTTCCAAACAAATCGCCTTGGAGTCTGTGTGCAGCCTTGTATTACCAAGGCAGCCCATCAAGTCAGTGAGTTGCTGGAACACCATGAAAAGCAGAAGAAAATCCAGTAACAGTGCTAGCGGGTGCCTTACTAAGGCTCAGACTGAAAACAGACACAGAATTTAAAAGATTTTGCAGTCACTTCAAGGTTTTTCTCATGACTGATAATCTCAGAATAAAGAGCATGGGAATACTAGACTCAGCAACTTTCTGAAACATCATGGGCCAAATTTGGACTTAGGTAGAAGCCCAGTTGCCATCTCAGGGCTTTAGATAGGTTGAATAGCTGCTTAATATATCAAGGGCAATGTAAATCATGTATTAAAGTGGAGAGCTTGACTGAGAAAAATGAACTTTCTCTATCTACATTTATATCGCATTCTCAGGGCAAAATCTGGCCGTGGGTATAAACTGGTTAACAAATGGCTGTTGGTAGTAACTTGTATGACATGGGTGCTTGTAAGGAATACAAAGAGTGCAATGAAAGGGTCAAAAACAAACAGGAGGGAAGTAGAAGCAGGAAAAAAACTCGCAGGAGGAATTAGGTAAAGCAAATCTCCATTTTGATAGAAGGCTGTTTTTTCCCAAGTTGCATCCTCTGTGGCACATAAATCGCATGTTAATCCCAGAAGAGCAAACTAGTGCAGCAGGCTTTGCTACCAAATACATCCATTACCAAACCAACTTGCAACTCATACAACTCTTAAGCTATCAATCATTTTGACCAAGTGGACCTGATCCTGCCCTGATTTGCATTACAGAGATCTGGCTTAAGTGAAAAAATTCTCACTTGCACCAATATACCTTAAATCCAAACCCAACTCAATTCCTATTTCACGGATACAATATATATTTTCAGTTGTGTTTCAGTTTTCTGCACCACACAAGGCTTTCAAATCGTCAAGGCTGTGTGCTCTGTGCAGGAACAGAACAATATATTACAACAGTGCATAGGCAACAAACATACCTGGGCTTGGGCACTCGTTCATCAGGAACTGGTGTCCATGTGGAATCTGGAGACTTCTGTTCTTTGAATCTCCCAGTAAATACATTGGCAATGTCAAGCATGTCATAGGCACAGACTGCAGAGCCAGGGATGCTGCAAAGTGACATTTCCCAGAAATTGTTACTCATTCTGCAGTTATGCATAAAATCTTGAGTGAAAAACATGCTGTATAGAAGTCTTCCTGTCACAGGCTACTCAATCCTGAACTCTGTAACCTCTGAGTATTGACAGGAAAAGCCAGCCCCATAGAAAAGACTGAAAAGTACCAATCAGCAGACAGTTCCTGCCAGTACAAATTGTTTCAAAGCCTCTATAGAAAGAAGTAATCGCAATAATCTCGAAGGAGGAGAGGAATCTGGGAAACTCTGCATACCACTGCTGATGCACGACAAGTAATAGCCGATCTCATTTACAGCATGTTCTTTGAAATTTGAAGTTCCTGTAAGTCACATTTTCCCAATATTAATTCTCACAGTCCCTTCCATGCCTCAAAAATACACTCTGCAGACAGTTCAGAGGTTGGAGCTAATCAAACTGGGAGCATGCTGCAACGTGCTATTAGCCTGGGATTTGCACATTATTACCCCATTCTCCCATAGCCTGATCTCCATCAGCTTTTCTCAATGGAAAGGAGTAAACTACGCTCAGGAACCTGCTTAACTCAATGAGGTGTAAAGAGCTCATAGAAGGAAATTCAATTTTATTTTTAGATTCCAAAAGTATAAATTTCAACTTTCTGATTGTTTGCAGGCAACTACATGGTAGCATTGTCTAAACATAATTACATCATTACCTACATACTTTCTGAAAGGCTTAAGGGTTTCCCATGGTCAGTCATTTGGAAGCATGAATTATTTACTTATCCACCTCTCTCTCTCTCTCTCTCTCTTTTTTTTTTTTTTAAATACATGAACTACTGTATTTATGTCTGACTTTCACCACGATTTTATCAGATAAATAGTGTGAACCCAGCTGGCTGAGACTTTCAATCATGCTTTTAGCTAGTAGCTTATTATACACCAAAGGAAAAAAAAGCAGGAACAATAACACTATTACAGAGAATGAAACTAAACTCAAAGGGGATACAAATTGATTTGAAAATAATTGTATAAATATCAAAAGGTTTCAAAATGCTGATTACTGAAGGAAACAACAAGTAGGGAGACAGTAATAGTCCTGCTTGGATCTCCACAGGCTAGGTTGTTATATGGATGGAAGCTTAGTTCAGAGCTCTACATTAATATGATAGCACACAGCAAGAGTTCTAAATGGAGGCAGCCAAAAGTATCTTGATGTAAGAGTTGGTTAGGAGTATATTTAGCCATTAATAGCTAACAGAGAGAGATCTCAGGCACATAGGACTTAATCCTGAAAGATACTGCAAGTCCTACTTCAGCTACATGATATTACACTGTGCTGAATTAAGCCTTAAAGAAAGAACACTAAAAGCTTGAGGCTTACTATACAGAACTAAAAGCACTGAGGGCTGGACTCGACACACATCTCCAGAGTGATGGAGGGATCACTGCGGTGAGAAGAGTGCAAAAGCTCTGACTACTGAGGACATCAATTTGTGGATCCACAGTGTCATAAACCTATACAGGTGGAGAACTGTGGGTCACCTCCAAGAAAATCCATCAGCCACTGGACTACAGCCCATCCCCAGGTCCCACCCTGGGTGATCTCCGGTTACACTGAGGATGCTATTCCAGCTCTTTCAAGTGGGAGCTTCTTGTCCCAAGACCAGAGATATTTTTCTAAGCCTTTCCTCAGTGGAGGGTAAAAGAGACATCTGTCCACGCCAGAGTTAGCTCTGTTAATGAGGGGTCTCCAGGCCTATGTGCCTTCCTCTCATCTCCCCTACCTTGCAAAAAACAGCCTATAAGAAGTACCTTGATTTTAGAATAAAGTACTTAGATTTTAAAAGGCCTGGTCGAAGAAAAAGGATTACTCATGGCACACCCCAGGAAATACTAGCAGAGCAGGAGGACAATCTCAGTTTGGAGATAGTATCAATGACACAGCTTGTTTTCTGACGCTGACTCTCTGTTTGCTTGCTTTTATTAAATTAATTTGCATAAAAAGAGATCATCCTAATTTAAAACTCTATTCCCTATTGGTGGCATAATTGTTCCAAGCAGCTCCTCTTTGTTTTCCTGTTGAAAGCAGTGATTATATAGCACAGGCCTGAGCTTACTCTCATTCAAAGTCAGTTCTGTGCACGACCTCACTGAGGTCAGGCTTTGATGAGAGGTGGCAAGTGAACAGCAAAAACAGATGAATTCCAGTAAGGAAAAAATCCTGTTTCAGCTCAAACATTACTCTGTGAAATAGCAATATATTTTTAATTAGAATGTTACTGTTTTTTTAACTTCTCTGGGAGGTTCAATAATTGGATACAGCTACTTTTTCCTAATAACTTCTGGGGAAACATGTTATAATGTGCAATGGCAATAAATTTTTAGTAGATGAACTGATGCTTTTGGAAACCATGTGGACTGAACAATGAAATACAGGTGTTTGAAGAATGGGTCCTCTTATTAATATCTGCAGTTTGTATTCAAGCAAGATCGGGACTTTCGAGTGCAGGCTCTGTAACAGGAAGATATGTTGACGTTGCCCAGGAAAAGGAAGAAACTTTCTATTTAGCATGCCTCCTCCTTGCTCACTGAAGCCTTTTGTGAGCGTATCACGGGTGCAGCCCCAGAGATGTAAAGGGGTAGCAGACTGTCTGAATAGGTATAAAGAATTCAATACTCTCTTCTGTGACAATAAATGAGCAAAGCAGGAACTGTGAAGCTCTATTCAACTCTACTGCTTCCCTCTACACGCTCTGGAGCCCTGTCCTCTGTAGCCAGCAGGAAACCTTAGTATTTTGGCTCTTCCAGGAGAAAATACACAAGTCAGTAGGGATGCATGAGACAGGGAAGAGTATTAAAACAGTTTTTGAGGGTGCAGACAAAAATAGGATAAACCCAATCCTTTCTCTCTGAGAAGGAAAAATCTTATTTTCTCTTTGGAATAACATTCTGCAAGTCACACACTGCAAAGCTTCTTGATGTCCTGTCTAAATTATTCCCATGCAAAGAAAAATATGACCAAGGAACATGTCCACACAGGAAATGGTTGAAAGCTGTTCTAAGTTATCAGATACAAAACGCAGTAAGCAATACCAGGGTACCTTAAAATGAAACACCAAGTGTCTGTAAGTGCATGATACATAATAATTACATTGTATAAGCAATCACTGCTTGTACTTTAATAAAGTAAAAAGAAACTGTGATGAAAGGCAAAATATAAAGGAAATAAGGTAAAAGGTTACTGTGCCTATTACCTATTATACGGAGTGGAGAAGGTTGCTAAAACAACATCCCGGCCATTGAAATGGATAACATCTGTAACAGCCTGCAGTATGTTAAAGTAAAAGTGTGAATCGCCGGGAACGGAACAGTTCAAACGAGCCTTGAGAAAGGAAGTCCACTGTTTTTCCAGCACTCTCTGAGATCCTCCCATGTCATTTTTGCAAACCTGAGCCACCCTTGGGAAAACTACCTGGAAGGAACAGAGCAAAAATAACAGAGAAAATGAAATATTTGCTTGATCTGACAGACTCTCCTGGAATTCTGTCCTTAAATTATTTGAAATGACACACCAAGGTGCTTAATTTAATCCCGTGTTTCCATAATCTGTGACAAATAACAAACAGAAAAAAATTCAGCTTTGGAAGAGCATGCCACAAAAGATAAGGCTGTGGCTTTTCATACACAGCCATAAATCCTTCAGGAGATCCGTTCTCAACCCATATAAACTCATTTCCATAAAGACTGCTTAGCTTTCTATTTCCCTAAACAAAAGCACGTTTTATATCCACAGTCCCTGCAACTCACGCTGCCTGGTCCGAGTCTTGTATTTTCAGCACTTAAAACTAGGCAAATCTCACTAGGCTTTTATTCCTGCCCTCCACCTTTGTGACCTTGGTCAGCTTTTCTGACTGCCTAGCCAGAAAGCTACTGTGAAATTATCAAAAAGGCAGTAAATGTTTAGTTATTCTTTGCAAAATGGCAGAGAACAAAATTCCTGCTTCTGTTTTCTCAGCACTCCAGTTAAGATTTCCTAATGAAAAATACCTCTTTGCTAGAGAATCCAGGTTTAAAATAACCTGATGCGCTGTGCTTATTTCGGTTGACAGAAGAGATTCCAATATACATTATCACCAAAAAGAAACCATCTCGCTTCCTTTCAAGACAGTGTAATGTTTCACTCCAACCAACCTTTTGGCTTGAGCGATAGGAATCTTCTCAAAATGATGACCTTGTCATCATGATTTATGGTTCTCATTTCAAGGTCATTCCTAACAGCACTGGTTCAAGCACAGCATATCTGTTTCTCCTCCTGAATGTCACAAAGACACTCAAAGCAATGTTTTTCCCCCTTACCTTTCCCATGCTGTTGTACTCCACTGCTATTTCCCGGAAGAAGAAGTAAATATAGTTGCCGTAGTCCACTGCTTGGACAAAGTATGGTTCTGGAAAAAAGATAACATTCTGTCTAGGCACGATGTACAGCATGTAGTGTGCAAATACAGTAAGGGTGCAGAGAGAAGCCAAATAGATCCACACTAAATATCTAAAGATTAAGTGCCCACATTAAACAAATTTGCTCAGTTTTCAGAATAGGCAACGCAACCCACCACAGAAGAATCAATGTCTGGGATGCACAGGATAGCTGGGGGCAAATCTGCGGAGAATCTGTGCAAAATAACTAAGTACTTGCCACTAAAACGTCTGCCCTGCACAGTGGACAAGCAAAGGTGAAGAGGCAGTGTATATAATGGTACGCCTGCGGGGTCCAAATAGGGCTCTTTATGGCCTGACGGCTGCGTGTGGAGCGAATAACAAACCAAGTAACTGTTTCTGCCCATACACATCTGTAGCAACAAGCAAAGTGGGACAGCTAAAGTCGACACCTGGCAAAACATTTCTGCGAGCAGAAAAAGCCTTCAAACTATGGCTTTGCTCACTGTTTAGAATCACTACAAATGTTAACTATTCGTAACACCTACGTAAAAGTAAACAGCACCGTTCTTAACAATGAAGGTATTTAGAGCACACAAATTGCCTAATTCAATGGCAGCTGTACCGTACCAAAGAACTATAAAATGAAGGCTCTCTGCAATATTCCCGTAGTTTTATTTTTACTGATGAATCTTAATGCTGCAGAACAAATTCTCTATACTTCACAAAGCCTTGACTGTTAGCTGACACAATCCTAGGGAAGGAATTGTTTCAAGCACAGGCCAAGTGCACTAAGCCCTGCAAATTCCAACTCTTTCATCCAATAGCTGTAAATTGACGAATTTCAGCTCGGAAAGCTGGCTGGAATATATTTTGCTCTACTACGCTCACAGTTTCTGTCAAGTGCAGTAAGTTGGGGTCAGGAGAAGAGGAAAAGAGATAAATGAATCTGTTTAAGTAAAAGATGTAGTTTAGTTCCTTCCTTCTGCCAGAAGGCATTGCTGAAATTAAATGACAAGAGAGGTCTGTCAGGAATCCAAGATTCTCATTAGAGATGCTGCTTTTTGGTTTTGTTTTGTTTGTTTGCCTACCTTTCAACCATTTTGAGTCATGTTTAACTGTCCGCAGGGTTGGGCTATCTCCAAGGCTTCGGTATATAACTGCATCTATTGCAAGGAAGTCGGTCACTGTGGCAGAATACAGCTTTCCCTCTGAGAAAGAAGGAAAGAAAAACCAAAAGGGGAGGAGTGACAGAAATAATGTAATTACTTTCTCTCATCAATCAAATGAAGGGGGATGCATGAAACGATCAGAAATCTTAGGAACACTGAAATGAAAAAAATCCAGTTAGGCAGATGGAACTGAACAAAAGCCACCCATCTTTAAAATTATAATTTCAGAGGAATGTTGTGGGAGAAGGCACCCTAAGAAATAATACTTTATCATTTTACGTAAGTCAAACCAAGCTACCCCATCCAGTTTCTCTGTAAATGCCTCTAGTTCAATGCTCATAAATTCTCTAACCTGCCTGGAAGTCAGAGAGTTGCCTACAGATCTGAGTAAAATAAATATGGGCCTGACCAAAGAGAACTGTTAGTTGTAAGAAGGAGGGCAAACTAGACAAGTCTTAGCGACTGTCAGCTAATTGATCCTTATTCGAACTTCTCCCTCTCTGAGCTTTAATGTGTAACTCCTCCTCTCTCAGAAATCACTAGTAAAAAAATTAAACAGTGTGCAGGGAGCCCAGGCAAAACAGGGATGCAAAAAGAGGGAGGAGGATTTCCCATCGATATTTCTTTTTTAAAACGCATTGTAGATATTCGCCACATGAATTATGCATCCTTCTCTCTTAAAGATCATTGGAAGAAAAATGATCAGAAAGGGTCTACAAAATGGCACCCAAAGGACAAAAAAAAGTTGCAAAACAATCTCAAGGTAAAAGCTTGAGCTCTGACAACAGTTTAAGGTGTTACTTGTTGCCAAACATGTTTGTGGGTCATGGTAACACGGGATTATTTCAGCTTCTGAGATATATCTTGGAACGACAGTGTCTAGTGGGAGCACAAACATCGCAATGCAAGACTAGTAACTTGTGTCTCAGTTGTGTCTACAAAAACGTGGAATCACCCACATCTAGTTTGACAGAGATTATGCTGCTTATCGGGCCTTGATGGCATCGATACTGGCGACATACCCAAGATAAAGTGGAGCACCTCTCGTGAGAGGCTTCTACTGGTCAAGTGCTCCTTACTGCAATTATAGACAACGTTGAATTTCCATTCAAGGTTTAAAAATTAGACTTTTTTTATTAGCAGGACTATACTCTTTGTTCTGAACCCTACAATCCTTACCATTATTTGGCTATTTAAAAAGGAGCTTGCTTTCTTAGCAAAAACAGGAAAAAAAACAAATAAAAGCAGATACTAAAACCAATTTAAAACAGAATAAAAAGCTAAATTGTTTAGATATGGATGTCTGAGGTCACGTTAATATAATCACACATTCATTTTCTTTCCTGCCATGTTCCTGAAGACCAATTACAATTTGCACATATCAGTCATAATAGCAACAGGCTGCAAGAACCATATTCATTGTAAGCGCACCCAATAGACTAAGGTGAGCTGGATTAGTGCCCTAAACTGCTAGGAAAGTGCTTTTCACTGCACTGTGAAAAGTTCATGGGGATCAATAAGTATAGCATATCAAACAGTGATTTTCTTAAGCCAGCAGGGTTTTATTGTGTAAGAATATATTTCATAAGAATCAACCTATGTTCTGAATTACCCCAAGAGAGAGTATGATAATTTCTATGAATATATATATATTTTTTTTTTCAAAAAATGAGTGGACTTCTTCAGTGACAGAGTGGGATTCATCGCAAATAACTTTAGCTGCATGTAAGGTAAATGTTTAGACTAAGTTGGTCATAAATCCCTTCTCTGGCCAGTGTGAAAAGAAAGGCACTTCCAAAGGGTGATTCAGACTGCCCTAAGACAGGAATCTGAGACATACGGCATGAATCATTCTCTGAAGGTGCCTCTCTATTTCCGTGGCCTAAGAACTATCTGCTACAATCAGAGAATTTCTTTGGACTTTAATAAAGAAATTACATATCATCACCATCATCATTAGCATTATTATTTTTGAAACAAATGGACCTACTGATTTACACTGCTAGGAGTAAAAGAATTTTCTACAACCCGCTATAAAAACTCTGTTGCAAGGCAGGTCACGCCAGCTCTAACACGGTAGTGGTTAATACAGTCTTTTGGCCACAAACATGATTTTCTGTTAAAAGTGGCTGGTACATGTACAAACTCTTCAACTTTCAGAGGAAATCCTAAAATATTTCCACATAAGCCACAGGTCATGCTTTCTAGCAAGACACGTGCTAAAAAGGAGTGACATTATCATAGGTGCGCTTTCGTTTCATCTTTACATCTTTTTTACATCCAAGTTTAAGAAAAGATCAGCAGGCTTCACTGTAAGAGAAGTTCAATAAAGAAACAATTTAATCAGGGATCTATGAAGAGGAGAGGTACCAAAATAACATTTCACAATCAATAGCTCAAATTAACCCCATTAATAAGCACCCACATTTTTAACTACTGTAGAAGAAATCAGAGTTAACTGCATTTTGCTGCAGGCAGCATAAATCATTATTAATCAAGAGATTTTTCTTGTTTGTCTACCACAGTTGGTGATAGGACGTCAAGATGTTTTTTGCTTTAAAATAAAATCACCTTCCCTTTCCTTCTGGATCTGGAAAAGGGGACATCACAGCATATTCCCTAACTTCCTTTCATTAACTTAGTTTGGCGATGTTAAAGGAGCATATCCTGACCCCTCCCCCTTAAAGTTCACACAAGCCTTGTCCTTGACTTTCGTAGTAGCAGGATGCCAGAAATTGGGCCTCACACTGATCTCGCATTATATTATCATGAATTCAGGAAATGCTGAAATATTGAATCAGGAAACAGAGGCTTTAAGCAATGTTGTTTATGGTAGTGAAGTTAATCCCAGAGAAGGCAAGGTTTCCTGTGCTAATGATTTCCTTACGGCCCCTATTTTTAGTCATTATCCACTCCCTTTGCCAGCTTTTAGATTTTGGCATTCTGGATTCAAGAGATACAGTGCTATGGTAAGCCTGGGCTGCACCACAGAAAGCCAAAAGATTATTACAGCCATCCTTCTTTACCTGCGAACAATGCAACATTGGCATGCTTTGCATCATAGGGGCACCTGGCCATTCCACTGAATTCATCTCCCAGGAACTCCAGCGTATCCATCTGAAAAAGGAAAGGAAGCTCTTCAGACGAAGAAACAGAACTTATTACCCAGGATGTGACTTATGATAGCGTTTGTTCATTTCTGGGCAGGAAAGAAGATTGTTTCTGTAACTGCGTTCCTGACCGTGAATTAAAAATCCAACAAAAATTACAGCATTAAATAAAACCAGCCTGGAAAAGCGTGTCCTATAAGCCAGGCATCCCTTTAGAGGTAATCCCAATACATTTTACAAAAGTCTGATATTTTATCTGTACACTAGCTTCCTGTTGAACTGTAGCTGGCTATGTCATCTGTGGTTCTGGCACAGATTCAAAATTTATCCTCAATAGTCATTCAACAGAAGCGCTCTTATACACAGCAAAAGACTGCAAGCCATAGCAGTCAGAAGAAACAACACTAGGACAATTATCTGTGTGTGTATTTTTCTCCCTCAAGTCCGGAGATCCTTCTGCTCTAGTCACAACAGTGGTGCTCTCTTCCTTGATTTGCATACTTAGAAGGATGTTCTCCAAGTGTAACTGTATCAGTTGAGTCTGTGTCATGGAGAAACCCTCTTACCATCAGGCAAGAATTAATCTGTGCAGAAATTGCAAAATCTCAGGCTTAAGTGTAACTCCTGGGAAATGAATTCACCCTAGGTACTAATAATTATACAAATATACAGATCAACTTTACGCATAGTTCAAGAGGGTTTACTGAGCTACAGAGGAAAAGTACAGCTCTTACCTGCTTAAGATTCTTATATTACAGTATTTGGGGGGTAAAAGTATTTCTAGCATATTCAAGTAACTTGAACAATTTACACTGCATAAATCACATACAGTACAGAATTACAGAGCATGAAAAATAACCCATCCGTCACCATCAACTACTCCAATCAACTTTTAGCTTCTACGTTATGGGACTTAAGTCATTCAGTGGATGATTTGTCATCATTTGTTTTCTGTCAGGACCCACTGAAGGGAATTAGTTGTTTTCTCTAGAATGGAAAAGCATTTCAAATGGCGGTGAAAGGAAATGAGTTACAGTCCTGAGCAACTTTCCCTGTACTGCACCTGACATTCCAGGCTCATCTGCACTTTCACTTTACAGTGATGAGAGGCAGCCACATCTTCTGTTTGATACGTCTTTAGTCCCCTGTCTCTACTGCTAGAAATAAAGAGAGGAAAAGTCAGGGCAGGTGTCTGACTGACTTTCTGCAGACTCCCCGCGGTATTACTATCCAAGCTCTGGCAGCTCAGCAACAGGTGAAGCAGTCTGCACAGGCCATATATCATGGGGAATGAAACATCTGCAGTAAGGGAACGAAGGACCATTTATATCCCTCACATTAGGATGCCACGGAAAACTATTTGTATTAGAAGACAGCTTTCTAGCAAGAGGACTAGTTGAAATTTGTTAGCACCATTAGTTGTATCGAGCACTAAGCAATGACAAGCAGTGGTGGAATACTAAATACAGCGCTGCAAACAGGAAAGCTAGCTGCGTGCCAGAAGCAGGACGTGAGAAAAGGAAGACGAAATGGCCATTAATAGAACCCCTATTGTCGTCTTGCTGCTTTATACCAGGTACACACACCAACTGATTACTACGATGCAAGCTTGTACTTGAATAAGATTCCTCCTTCACAGATTGAAAGAAAATACTCTGCTGAACTTCTCTAACTGGTTTCCTAGGCTACAGCTCTTACAGCGGGTAAACGAGGTAAACCAGCATGGCAGAAAAAGGAAAGAAGAGCAGCAGTCACAAGCAATACCACTAAGGAAGTTGTTTTCCTGGATGTTAATATCTTTATGCTGTTTCTTCTGATAACTCTGACACCTCTGAGTCAATGAGAATGTGCCATGACTTCATTAGAAGCAGCATGAATTTTCTTCTACCTGAAGAAGAATGAGAAATGACTTTTGGGACACAGCAGAATCTGGAAAAGCAGTCTGGAGATCAACGCCCTACCTCAATTAATTTCAAAGCTACTCGAAAAACATCCATTGATGGGGTTATGTCAGATTACATGGGTGCAAGCCTGAGGAAATGGAAAATAGTTGAATAATTGGGCTCTGTTAATAGGCAGATGCAGTTGACACACTAGGTCTAAGGAAGAAATCAGGGTTAGTGAATTAATGGCCAGTATCCATCCACGGACCAATAAAGTTTTCTACAATGCTCTAGATAACGTTTTGGCTTTGTAGAGCCCCAATTGGTGAGGGATACATCCATTTCTCCTTCCTGCTCTGTCTTTCCCTGCGGAGATCTGCTGTCGACCATTTTTACAGCATGCAATACCATAGGATCTTCGTAGGTTCCCTCTCTGCTGGGTCCCAAACACTGATCGTTCTGGGTTTTACTGTGCAAAGTCCTTAAGTGTCTTCAGAACTGGCTTTGCAGTTGAGATCAATACAATGGAGACATTTAAAATGAATCATCCCAGTAATAATCCTCAGCATCCACCTATGTCTTAATGTGGTGTCAGTGACAAATTTAGGGACATTCTGAGAAGCAACACCACATCCATGTAGGGATCTGGGGAACTTTGCAACTATGGAGGGGGCAATGCAAAGTGCCAATACACTGCGATATGGAGGAGTTGCAAAGAAGTAGGTAACCAATCTGAGCAACCCTCAGAAAACCAATCAACACGGAGTTCTGCAGCATTGAAAGAAACCAGGACAAACGCTACAGAATTGAATGATGCACTGTTGAATGACACATCTCATGCTGTTCCCAGCATAATCACAATAAATCCAAAAGAAAGAAAGGGCATAAATGAAATCCCATAGACAGATCACATACCTTGTAGTTCCTGCAGGAAGGGTTGAAGGCATTTGTTCCACAGATAAACAATGTATCCTCATTTCTTTCTAGGAGAACCTTAATAAAATTATGACATTCATCCTGAAGAAAAATAATAAAAAGTATTTCAGCTACTGCATTCTGGGTGTCTGCCTTAATTTTTATGCTATGATCTTTCATCAGGTCTAAAATGAAATTAGCTGGTAGCCACTGTGATATTCTAGGCTTTATTTCAACTGTGTTTTAATTGACACTGACAAAAATACAATCAATTTCCATTCTATTGGTTTAAAAAATGGTTGCAAAGGACTGAGGATATGATATTCATAATATAGCTCAGATTTTGCTGTTGTTCACATAGATTAATTATTTTTGAATGCTGCTGCTTTCTTCAAGAGCAAAGTCCTGATTTTCTTCTCATCTATGTTGCTGTAAGAGTAGTATCACCAGTTAAGCTAACGTAATGCATTGATATAACTGGAAGGGGGAGCAGGTACAAAGAGTCTGCACCTAATTCTGACCCCACTTGCGTTAGTCATAGTTTACACTCGGGGAAAACTGGTGTCTGATCAAACTCAAATCTTTCTACACCTGCAAACACTCATACTTTCTGATGCTTTATATACATTTCTCTGTAAATTCCCAGGGGAGGATGGACTGCAGCACTTAGCCGTTGAAGCAACGTTAAACCAATTCAGTATACCTAGCACTATGTCCAAAATCCCCAGCGCACTCAGTGTTTCGGGATGTTGCTGTGGCTCCTGTCATAATGTTTTATCACATTAAAAGTGAACCATTTTTGCAAATTAAAGCCTTCAATAAGTTGACGGATAAAGCAGTTACTAGCAAAGAAGTGAACGGCATGATCCATTCCACATCACAGACAGTGGCCTGAGATAACGGTCAAACAACTAAACTAAAGTGGCAGATGCAGGAGAAATGAAAATTGCCAACCTTATGTTTTCCCTTCATTCTGCATGTGTCTACATCAGCTTGTCTAGATTTCCATGTCAATTTCTGCAAGGATCAAGAAAGAAATCAATTAGAGCCCAGAGGTTGTTGCATTTGATTTCAAAAGTAAAAGTCCCCGGGGAAGACTAGCTGCTGAACATATACTTATTGAAAGCTTTCTGCACCCTTTCTCCATGATTAATTCACCATAACAATGAAAGATCAGCGATGCAGAACAGTCATTTAATTTTGTGTTGCTATCTATTCATTAAACTAGAAACTGATCTCATTTTTTGAAGCCTGCAAACAACTGAATTTAGCAATAGGCCAACTGAAAAAAATATATGCACGTTTCTTATAAGTACTGCATTCTCTCTTCTTTTAATTTGTTTTGCAAATCAGAATAAACACTTATGGACTACAAACCCTGTCATTATCCTACTGGAATATGCATTCTGCAGGGGACATTTTAGATGAGCAAACTAATCAAATTCAGGTAATTCTTATCACTTCACATCAGCTAACAGGCTCAGAGAACCCTCTACCTATCAAAATACTCCAGTTTTCATCTGCTAACGTTGTTCCTCTGGAACGCTCATAGGTAAATCCCAGCCTGGATTTTTGTCCGAGTCTCCACCGCATTTTGGAAACAGCCCTTTTATGAAGTCATGAAATTCGCGGTAAGTTTCAGAAGTGGTCAAATGTCACAGGCTGATTAATTATAATAAAACCTGATCTAAAAACCTGTTGTCTAAGGTAGTAACACCTTTGACATGATAACCATGATTTTAATCCTGACAGCGTTTCCCATCAGTAAACTGAGACAATACGCATTCACTAAGGTCTCTTAGCTTAAACATTTACCACGAACGTAACAACACTATTCTTTCCATTACAAGCCTGTGACCTCATTTTTCTGAAGAGTTACAAGGCATAAGCTCATCTTCAGCATCACTGAAGGTTAATAATAAACACTCTTCCCTCCTGCAGCGCAATCCATCCGGTGGCCAAATTCATGCGATCTTCCAAAGGACCAAGGCTGTGTTTGCCACATATTACACAATGCGCATGCAATGCAAAGGAGCTGAAGGGAGGCTACTTCTAGTTATGTGTATGTTAATGTTCAATACGGCCATGCAGGCAAAGCTGCTCTTAGTTTGGATGTAACTTCCCATGGAGATAATGTGAATACATCTACAAATTGATGCCAAATAAGATTTTATTGAGTGAGTACTGGCATCAGTGAATAAAATCTGTGTGCATGAAAATATGTAAATAACATTTGCTTTTTATGATGAAAGTTTCAGTATACTTAATTGGGATAGTACAGCAGTTACAGAAAGCTGCAGAGTATAAATGAATAGACGTTTGATGGATGCTCCACCAGGGACCTCACTGCATTTCAGTATGGATTGCTTATCAGCCCAGCTAAATCACTTATCAGAAATTCACAGAGGACATGACTGCTATTCTAGCTTTCCCCAAATATGATTAGCAATGCCATCTTACTTGATTATTACAGTTTTTACAGCAGCGCTGGCAAGTTGTTTGAAACAATGTCATCTTCCTATTTATTTGAAGCTTGTTCTAGTGTCCTTGGTTTCTGGATGATGATAAAAGCTACTTACTTTGCTAAAATAAATTTCTTCTGTATGTGATGTGTCCATATCAACAGTATAAATATGGTCCCTGTAAAAAAAGGCAAACAAATGCAAAGTCAAACGGAGTAGTCAGTTCACTGTCTATGAAGAGAGCTACCTATCACAAGATAATCCATAATCCATTCAAAAAAGACCACAGGTTTTACTAGGGAACAGTACTGACAGCATTGCCTGCTTTTCCCAGTAAAGCACTTCCATATATAAACTATCTTCCTTCCCTTTAAGGAGAAAAAAAAAAGAAGAAGAAATTCTACAAAACTTCCAAACAAGATTCCTTCTCGAAAGTGACTATTTGAACAAGCGAGATTTTGGAAAGGAGATGAGCCCCTTATCACGTCTGCTCTATAGGTCTTACACTAGATGCTATGGTCTAGCGTGCAGATGTTTTTGCGTATCCTGAAATCAGCTGCAATCCTCCTCAGATAACCTTTGCCAGCTTCCTGGGATAGTAGTCACCATGCCACATTTAGCCATTCAGGGTTAAGAAGAGGTTAATGCTTTTTTCTTCTTCCCTCCTCTTTTATTTTTAATAATTATGCCTCTAACCTCAGCTGTGATAATCTGATTGACAATATGGAAGGGAAAAGGTTGACAATCACAAAACTGTTCCCAGGAATCATTCTTCTCCTCACACAACTATGGCCAAATTAAACTGCAAAACATTCCTCTGAAAAAAGTTTATGCTTCTTGCTTGCATTTACCTTCTTGTTTTCCTGAGAACCTGGCTCTCTCTACAATTAGCTGCCAATCTCTCCTTGGAAAGAGGAAATAGACTCAGCTGCTCAGGTGAAGAGATATTTTAAAATGTTCTCCTCTATGTAAGCTGAGAACAAGGACATTTTTGTCTGGAGCCTAAAATTCAAAAAAACCCCACCAACCCACAGAACTATAGCAACAGCCACACCAAACTGGGAAGGAGGCGAGGAACAACATTGAGCATCTCATTTTTCCTTGCAATAACATTGACTTTTTTCAAAATGCAGGAAGCTGTGCAGCTGGAGAATGATCCACAGCACTGAAGGGGTCTCCACAGGAGTCTGCTGAAAAGTAGGATACAGGCTGTTTCCATTTCAGAAATCTCTGCTGTCAAGATTAGCTTCATTTTATCAGGTTTGGGGGAAACAGCGCTAGTCTAAAGCAGACACAAAACACTCTGCTATAAGAAAAATAAGCAACACTTTTCTCACGTGGAGAAAAGGGGCAGCATTGTTACTGGGAACTGGCTTTTAAAAATCTACCGTCTTCTATGGCACTTGAGGCAGTTTGCTTTGTTAAGATGCCAGAATGAGGAGCTGTGGGGTTTTTTTTTTCCCTCCAATCTCTGCACAAACTGTCATTTACTGACAAGGCAGGTTTAATGCTTCAGTTTATTATTTGCCTGACTTTATTGGCAGAGCAATGGTCAGGGTCAATGCTGGAATAAGATTACTTATTAGCATATCAGCCTCGTAGATTAGTGCACAATTTCCTTTCTATGTACATCATTCTTTGTTTCCTTTGGTCCTACTGTATAAAAAAATGAGGCGCTGCAAGGCCTCTAAAAACCCCCTACAAGCACAGCTCTTAATTTTACTTACCAATCTTGGTCTGCAGCAGTTGGGTTTGTTTTTTTTTGGGGGGGGACTTGCTTTATGGTTTAGCAAACAATTCAAAGAAAATTCAGATGCTACGTTACTGGGTCATCTTACAGAGGGTTTGTATCTGGCAAACTATGTATCATTTTCTCATGCCATATTTAAAATATAGTTGCTGACAACGTCAGCGGAAAGTGAGAGAGCTGTCAAATTCTGGGGAAGGTTCTCTAACTACAAACAATAAGGGATTGTCCTTCCCCTCCTTTTCCCACTACTGCCTAACTCCTACTATCCACTAGCTGCGGTATGTGTACAGCTCGCTGCTAATTAAGTTATTCTAACACAAATTGACTTAATCCGAGGGCTTCCGTTTTTCCCACCTCCAGTCAGCAGAACTGAATTTTGTTGCCATGGCATAATCTTGTGGAGGAAGGGAATTTAAATAATGCCACCGGCTGTGCATGACCCTTGGCCACTCTGTGCAACGTCTGGAAATGTGTAACTGCAAAAGAGGAGGGAATCGTTCTGATGCTTCAGGGGCTCAATAAACCATTTTGTACATACATATGAGAGGTAACAGATAATGTGAACAAAAGCAGCCACCACACAATACAATGGGAGGAGGAGACACAGGGAACTTCGAAAAGGGTGTATGCATGAGAGAGAGAAAGAGTCAGACAGATAGAGCCCCTTCCAAGGAGAAAAAAGAAAACAGTTACTTCTTTATGGACTAGAAGACAGATATTCTAATTGCAGAGCAATGTGGCTTCATGGGCTTCACTTGAGTTAGTTTACATTGGTTGACTATCTCTGTCCTGTAACATGAACTGAAGCCCTTCCATATGAACCAGATTTTATTTGATAATAGCCAGTATGCATGCCAAAAGAGGCACCTGACAGACAAAGAAATTGTGTTCAATGCCAGTCACTCAGTAATAAGTTGTTAGAGGTTCTGAAATCTGAGTTTGCCCTGTTTTCCCCACGGAAACTGACTGCAAAACAAACACTGGGTACTGGAATTTCTAAAAAACAAACAAACAAACAAACAAAAAGAAAAAAAAAGCGCCATCCAACAACCTCAAATCAAAAACTCTCAATATTTAATCATTTGTTTTCATTGCTTTTCAGATAATTGGGTACACATGCAAACTTAGCATCACTGTATTTAGATACCTAAAAAAACAGCATGAAAGCAACATCTGATATGGTAGCTAAGGGATTTCTGCTAACTACAGTTTTCAATTAATCTTGTTACAAAGCTCTTGCAGAAACACCTTTGATTGTGTTCACATTTGCTTCAGTCTCTAGGTTTATTACCACCACTAAAGGAGATGCAGTGTTATAGCTATAAACTTTCATTCACACTAATTATCAAAAGATGACTCATTTTTTGGAGTTTATCACGCGAAGATAAAAAATGACCTTTGAATTTTAACTTATATCACACAGTCTTCTCAGCCCAGCAGGGATTCCAATAACATGTGGAGGGGGAAAAGAATATGCTTCAGGGTTTTTGAGTTACTGAAGGAAAAAAGTGTAAGAAGATTTCTTGTGCTTGAGTAAGAACAGAACAGATGAGGTCTTTGTTCTTTTTTGCAGGTCACTAGCTCCTAGGAGTATCTACGCCCTCTCTTATTATAAGACATTATTTTAAACATGTGCATAATTATATATTAGGCTAGAATGTATATGCACACACTAATATACACATTCTTCCCCCAAATCAACATTCTTCATATAACTTGTATACACAGTAGCTGCATATCCCAAAATGTTCAGCAGGCTTTTCCTGTTGTAGAGTCAATTGCTTGGGCACTGCAACACTGTAATTGCGTCAGTCTTTCAGTCTGGGAACAAGCTATAAGTACAACAGTGCAAAGTCCACAAAATGGATTTACCACCTTCTCACTGCAAATAATTTGCTAATTTAAAAGAAAACAAATAAGGAAAGCAAGGGGAACTCAGCCATGAAAAGAAGGAAATCCTGCTACCACCTTTCAAACCACTCCACTCCCACCCTTTGCTCATTATCACACTAAATGCAGCAAAAATATTAAGCACTGAGCTGAGGCAAAGCTTAGAGAGGCTTCCCTGTGGGACTGTCCATTCTTCGTACCCTAGAACCAACTCTGCAACAGTTCCCTGAAGAAGGAAGAAGATGCAGAGGGCCTGGATGTCTGGTAGTGGCCTGGCCAACAAAAATATTCACAACATGAATCCAAACATCTCACGGAAGAAAAGAAAACGCAGTCCCGTGTTGCATAACCATGTATTATTCGGTCTATACACTCTTTGCCAAGACCTGACACAAAGGGAAAACTAGGGACTGGCCCAGGTGGCTAGTCATTTCCTGAGAGTATGCTTTGCACTGCAGAATACTAGAGCTGACATGAGCTTTTGGTGCCTTCTGCGCCTGGAAGCTGTGCATGTCAAAGAAGTACGGCTTACGCTACTTGGGAGCGCACGTGCAAGAGGCAGTGTGATGACTTGGTCAGGAAAAAGCAGTATTGAAAATAGGAAAAAAGAAATTGGTGGTATTTAGAAAACTCAGTGATTCTGCTGGTGAAAGCAGCCAATTACTTCATGCCAAGTGAAGGTCAACAGGCAAGATCCTCGCTGCGGGGATACACCCAGAAGACAGGGAGTAACTGTTTGAGAAGAAAGCCTGGCAGCTCCTGGAGGCTGCTGAGGGCTTTGAGGACAGGGCCGGTAGCTGCCGTTGGGCAAGCGGCTGCCCGTTCGGCAGCTGTTCCCTGGCCATTCCACCCGCCACTCCTCCCATCTGCAGCAACAGCCTGGCTCTCTGTGGCACGCGCAGAAGGGGGTATTTCTCGGCAGCAGAAGGAGCAGAAAGCAGGTAGGAAATAGGCTGCTACTGGAGGGACAGCTTGTAGGGAGGTCCCAGACAGGATCTGGGCCCAAGAGCTCCTGAGCTGCACTACCTGCTCTCACTAATCTGAGCCCTTAGTGCATTTATCCTGTGCCCATCAGGTAATTCCCACTCCGAGATGTCAAATGCCTCTCTCTGGTAAGAACAGGTAGGGAGAGGAAGTGTTAATGTCTGATCTGTGTCAGCTGGCAGCTGTATACATCGGTATAGCTCCACTGAAGCTGATAGTTGAAGCTATGTTGAGCTACACAAAATAAATGGCTGGCTCTATATGCAATTTTTACATAAAGGCATGTGTTTGTATCTGCAGAGTACAGCTCTCCAAAAAAAATCCAGACACCAAATTCAATTAACCTTGCTGAGTACATCAAAAGAACAGCAGCCAACATGTTTTTCTCTTTTTTGTTTTATGATATTAAAAATGTGCCTAAAACAGCAACACTGAAGTTTAACAACTCTTATTCAAACAAGCATTTGTGCATCAGCAGAATCATTCTCTAAAATATGTAATTAATTGTGTGCGCAAACAGAATTACAGGCTCCTTTAAGGAGATAATGAGGATGAACTCTCTCTGCGATAGTGCTGAACAATTCCTTTGGCAACCTCCTCTCCCTGGATTCAAAGGGAGGTGGAGGTACCCAACCCTTAAAGGAATAGCTCAGTACCTGGCAAGACTGAGCCTTAGTTCACTGACTAACAAGGTTTCTAATATGTCTTATTAACAGGCTACAAAGGTGAGAAAAAGCAGAAATAAAATGTCTGGCCCGAGCCAAACTCGGAATATCCCATTTTTCCTCCTTCTCACTCTGAAAAGAGCAAGGAGGGAGCGAGGAAGCGGGGGGTTACTGACCTAGCAGCAACGTAGAGAGTTCTGTTCATGATCATTATCAGCTGGATGTCCAGCCTGTGCCTCTGCGTGGCGTTCCGTCCCGGCTTGTGACCCACAAACACCGGATACTGTTTTGTATCTGTGGAAGGAAAAAACGGTTCACAGAGAAGAAGCAAAAGACAAAACAGAATCACAAGGTGAAACCATGTTAACATGGAGCATCCCAGTGCCAAAACTACAGTTCCTTTTCTCCCCCAGCAACACAGCGTGGTGCATGAAGGTACTAGCACAGAGGGCTGAACAGCTCTTCAGGGTTATAGCCTCTGTTTGCAGTTGCAAAGGAGAAAGTCATTACCTTTTTAGAAAATGAAAACTGGGACTTTTTAGAACTTAAAGCTGCTCTGGAGCTCGTGGCATACAGGTACTCAACACTTTCTCACAGTTTTTCTTTCACCGCTTGCAGAGTTTAAATTCTGGCTGCCGGCTGCCAAAGTGCATCTAGTGGGACAAAGCTGCTTTACAGCAGCCCATCAATCACCACCAGGACTAGATTGGTGGTGGTTAGAGCAAAAGCCCTGGCTCTGCTCAGCATAAACAGCCAGCTCCATGGGTTTCCTACAGAATCAGGCTACCATTGTAGGGCAGCTGTGGGGATTCCTGAGAAACTGTGGGTAACCATTACTTGAATTTTATAAAATGAAAGTCACTGAATATTATTTTGGCAACCAGTCTGATACTGCAGCTCTTTTGGCAACTGGACAACAATTCTAACTGGAAGCCCTGTATTGAGTTCATGCTATCAACAAGCGAGCTTTTTCCTCCCTATCAGTCAGCAGGAGCATTTATTTGCTTTTTCGCATGGTTTACTTGGTGAGACCTCACCATACCCAAGGTGTGCTGGTGCTCCTCAGGATCTGTGTGTACTGTCTACAAAAAGAGTGAATAGTCTGTCTAGGAGCCACCTTGCTGTTAAGTACGTATACACGATAGTGACACCTAGATGCACAAACTAGGGAGCAAGCTAAGTAAACAAAAAGACAATTGAAAGATAGGAGGAGCATACATCTCTGATAAGCAGCAGCATAAATGCAAAACCTGCTGTGTGTATTACACAGAGTTGACTAGCATCTAGCCATGCCTCTGCCTTTTCCCACCAATATGTTTTCCCAGAAACATGGAGCTACCTTGAAGGAGTCTGTTTCTTCAAAAACTCAGAGATTGCTTCAACGTTTTCAGTTACTGTCCTCTAAAAGCATTCTCCCTGTTAAGCTCGGTTAAACTACTGATTCATAGCGTGGCTTGGGCAAAGCACTTGAGACGACCGTGTGTCATTAAGCCTGGCGATAGCACTGGGTAGAAACAGTAACCTCCCTGTAAAATAGATGCTGAGTGTTTTTAGAGAAACAAATTAGCAAAATTCAGCCAGGATTTGTGTTCAGAAGCTTAATCCTTCTGATCAAGATTTACATGCGAATGCCAAGTTTTAACTTTCAAGCTCTCCTCTGTTCAATACTGTCCCCTTTAAAACTCGCTGATCTTACATGAGTAAGCCTGTACATTTGTGCAGACTTCAGCACCCTGTTATGGAGACAAAGAAGTTATCCCATGCTTCCATTTCTCCAAAAGGATCAAGACTGCTTAAATCTACATTAGCAAGGGTGATTAGCATCACCTGACTGGAGGGTAAAAAGTTGGTGCTGAAAGGGGTTTACTTCGGAGCAGCTCTAGCCTCGTCCCACGGACTGGATGCCTATCAGCAGTCGGAACACACTAAGCGTGCTGCTGGAGTCTGCCTTTCAGTTTAGTGTTATCCAAAAAGGTCTAGTTTACATGCCCCACGACTACCCCAAGGCACAGTAAGCAAGGACCATCAGGAGATCCACTTCAAAATCAAACTGCTGATCCAAAGAAAGATGTTAAGACAAACCTACCAACCCACTGACGATTCACCACTCATTAGCACACTTTTACAGACCCAAGTGCTTCCTTTTAAATATCTGAACCCTTGGAACTTCAGAAGACTTTTTTTTGGGAGTAATCATAATTGAGCTGTGGTAAATGAGGAAGAATCACTTATGCTAAGCCTGTTTTGCCCGGTCAGATGCTAAGAAAGCTCTCCACCTGTTTATCTACTAAATCTCACTACTGACTTGCAGCTGTCTGTTACCCTAGATATCGAGAGTCTGCCAATTGCTACTAGTAAGAAAGAAGAGAGATTCTGTTACAAAAGATCCTTTTTCTTGCCTTTTTTTAAATCAAAATTTCCAGCAAGCTTTCTAGGCAAAAACGCCAAATGCTACAGTGGAATTCATCAGAGCTTGAAGAAATAAGTTTGGTTATTTGTGTTAGATCAATGAATTATGTTTTCACAGCTTAGTTTCATTAGTGTACTACACTTGATACTCTGAGGTGCTTGGCTGGTTATCCAGAACGTTGTTTTCACAATGCAGGTGAGGAACCCTTTGATCATGAGGGAAAGAAAAAAAAAAAAAAAGCTTCCCTCATTTGCTGCTAGATAAAACAAGAAATTGGGTTTGATTATGCTATTGAAGTGTCTGTCTGAGGAGGAGAAAGGCTCCCGTTTTTGAGGAGCAAACAGCTCACCACCCAGTAATCATAAGCGAATGTGAGAAAGTCTAGCTTTTCTACTAATATTGGAGAATATAAATTACCTGACCTGGGAGAGACCAGGAAAAACAACTTTATTCATTGCAACTGTAATACAATACTGTTAACGGGGAGTCTGCTGATCAGTACCAAGGAAATGAAGACCTCTGGAGTCTTATACTTACAGTTGCCATGCGAAATACTGATTGGCTCAGAATCTTCTGGGAAAGCAGCCCCAGCAAAGTGTAGCAGTGTGAAATATAGCAGCAAGGCTTCTGACCTCATAGTAGTTCAGCTGGGAGACGTTACTTCTGCACTTCACCCTGTGGAAGACAAACAAGAGCATAAGGGCTTCTTATCGATTCAGCTTCAACCAACGCATACAGAAAAACTAAAGGAGACAATGGAAAACAAAGGGATCGTTCCTTCTTCTCAAACCTCTCCCTGTAATCAAAGAGGTACGTTGTACTTCTAAGCAGGAATTGCCCTGCCAGGCCCTTTCTTCTTTAGTCCATGCTCCAGCAGTGCCATGTCTTGGTTGAGGACAGACTTCAATATTTGTGTGCTACTGAGAATTTTCCGTCTCAGCTGCTTGTGCACAATAAAGAAACTTTGTCTTCTGCGCTGATCGACAGCTGACAAGAGGTTTTCAGCAAATATTTAGTCTGCCATTTCTTTGGCTAGGTTGACATAATTAGATGATGACATACACCATAAATAAAAAATACACTACATTATTCATGTTAAAAAGAGATTAAGGGTTATACTACAGGACTGATTCATACCCCGCAGAGCTATGAATCAAGTGAAGAAACACAGAGAGCTTGATAGAGCATGCAGAACATGTCAGTGGGCTTTACCGTAAAAATATGTACCCATAAATTTAGGTGCCATAAAACTAATACTCCAACTTGGGATAAAATAAGGGTGAACAGAACTGTCTAAAAACACGATTTTTCTTCCCTGTGTTCTATTCATGCATTCACTCATTCACATTTCATGTACCAAAAAAAAAAAAAAAACCAAAACCCTAAATCTTCAAGATAAAAAGAACCACAGGAGCCTTTGGATACCGTGAAAGAAAATAGCATATAATACAGTAAATAGCTCATAATTCCCAGGCAAATTTCATACAGGAGCTGATCTGCAGGGAAAACCAGTGTAAAAGTGAGGTTTTCTTTTCATCCCTTCCAGAGTTTCAAACCTTTGATGCCACCTGCCAAAGATTCTTTTTGAACAAAGCTATTTTACAGTAGTCTGTCAATCATTCAAGATTTATGGGCAGAAAGTCAAACTTCATAACCTACATAGTCTTTGAAACTTAATTTGGCAGACAAAGTGCTAACTTGCCCTTCTGCAACACCATTTAATATTAGACACCTAAATCTCCTTTCTCTATACCAAAAAACAGTATTAACAAGTCTTGAGTGTTGCATTTTGACTTGCAGTTTCACAGACACAGCTGATTCCTCAGCATTTATCCTATTAAAGATGCCACAATAATTAATTTGCCTTATTGGATATTTGTTTTAAAATAAAATTTCAGCTCTGATAACGGACTGGAATAGAGACTTCGTTGTAGGGCAATACAGTTCATAAGGACTAATGATTTATTACACTCCATGCTTGCTTATTATTATTCAAACACACAAATTGGAAACTTGGCTGACTCTCTGTTTTCATTAATCAAAGCCTGAGTCCAGAAAAAATAAAATTTAATATGAGGCACTGACTGACCCCTTAACTAAGCAATGTCAGAAGCATGTCAAAGATAAAACAGCAAGAACAATATAGTACAATACAGAAACTGTCTGTCTATTACATCTTATGTGAGAATGAATCCTGGAAGATAGCACATACAAGCACCAGAAGTGTTTCCATCTAGCACTGGTTAGGCTGATAGCAGCATAGGACCACTGACACAGCTGTGCCTGCCTGCAGACACTTTCTTTATCTGTTTTCTCTATTTGTCTCTTTAATCACCTCTTAAATGTTGTCTTCACTGTGAGCTCTCTAGGGCAGGAACTGTTTCGTTCTATTTGTTTCTGTGCCCAGCTGAACCTCATTTAGGGCCCTTAGGAACGCCCAAAGTAGAAATAAACAGCAGAAGTAAGTGTAATACTTGGAAACCCAGTTTCCCTCAAAGGGTTTGAATTAAAGATAAGATCTATATCTATCTTTTTTATCTATCTTTTTATAAGTAACAAAGTATCTTCTCTTAATACACAAACAGATTTCGATTCTCTCCCTCTTGCAATTGCTACCATCCAATGCAAAATTCTTCTCTGAAATACAGATGAGAAGTGGCAGTTTAATAGGAAGAAACTTATCAAGCAATCCAATTCTTCCACGCAAACCTTATCCATCCACTGTATCGGTCTGCAGGCTGACTACTCAAACTAAACTCGGCTCACAGTGAGACTCTGGAGCAGAAGAATAGCTGCTTTCTGTTACTCCCTAGCAGCACATCATCTGCTATCTTAACAATGTGTGTACACTACAAGGAAAGCATTAAGGTACTGCAGATAAATCTCAACCACTCCACTACAGAGCTTTAAAAACTTTTCTGGTAGGCGATTCTGTACCATCACACTCTTCTAATTCAGACCTGTATAACAGTACGTAAATATATACAGGAGACAGCCTCCAGGAGAATTAGCAACATCCAACATGTTTGCTCTATCATTTTATGGACACATTATCAGACCAGATCTTTCTTCTTTTACCTGAAAAGAATTAACCAACAAATGTACTCTCACATTGCCTTCTAACAGATTAATAGTACAAAGGTTTTTAGGTATATGGAACTCTGTCAGTCTTCAGGATATTTTCTGGGAAAGGAAGGGAGGGAAGAGAGAAAAAAGCCTAACTCTCCGTTGCTCTAGTACCAACACAATTGTTGGAATTCATACAAAATAAATGCAAAACATGCCTATTTTGATCTGTAAGTGTTTCAAGCTGACTGTGCATCTGTATCAATGCCGGTGCCAATAAAGTAAGAGAGAGTAGGACACAAGTTGCATCCAAAGGTAGCTTTTCACCAGGAGGTAATCACCAAACATAATGTGAGTTCTGCAGTCCTAATAACAGTGGAAGGATCTGTCTTGTTTCAGTGGAATTTCAGAAAGGCACTGATTCTACAAGGTCGCACTTATTTTTAGCACAAACTTCCTTTTCAGCAAATTCTCGACTCCGGTTGGGCTCCTGGGAGTGATGCAAGTGTGCAATTGTGCTGAAACTACTTCCTAATCAAAAGTGCTTCTAAATGCAGTGTTTGATGAAGCACAAGTGGATAGATAGTGATGCTGAGCGAGTACAGGTACCATCTCCAAATAATAGTCTTATAAACATTATGGGACAGAGCTTCAGTCATTGTAAACCATGCAAGTCCAAACTGGATTGCATTAAGCTATTCAAGTTGAGAGAGAACTGGCTCTAAGAACGTCAGCTCTTCCCGTTCCAAACGGGCTCACTGCTCCTGTAAAGGACATGAGTGATGACAAGAGGCGTGTTTTTTGGTGGGGTTCTTTTACTAGTAGACGCTTGGAATACAGCACTGCAAATGTGTTAGAGCAGGTTTTATAACCTGTGTCTACTGCAATGACTTTTAGCCACAGACTTTACGGAGTAATAAGATTTCTTCCAAGTCTCAAAAAACCAACAAATCTGCCTCTTGCATTCCCGAGACAATGCAAATATAACTTGATGCAAGATACCTTGGTGCTCTGTTCTATTTGTGCAGCCCAGCACAAAAGGCAATCAATAACTGAGTAGGATGTTTGCATACCAGCACAATGTAGTTGCTATTAGTATTACTCAAAGCCTCCATACGTACACATACACACCCCCACACACCACAGTGGTGTTTGATTTAGTAAAAATTATGCTACTGGCATGGAGGAGTTTCTGAAATTAAGATAGTAATGACCATCCCGATATGGTTTCCAAGTCAAAGAGAAAGGTCTGATTTTTCTGAACCAACACTATGGTTTCTAGAGTCCACCCTTACCTGAGACAACAAGAAGCCACCATGATGAGCTCTGCTTTTTGCTATCTGATCTTTTCAGTGTTCAATGAATAACAGTCTGGGTGGAAATGCATGTACAGAATAGCTTGTTGGCTAAGAAAATGCTCACACGGCTACTGCCACAATATTCTAGTAACCGGCCTATTGTGTCTGGAGCTTGTAAGTTCTGGCAAGGTTATACATACTACGTGGAAAATCGTAAAGGGAAGTGCTAATTTCCTGGTAAATGCTATAAAAGTGTAAGGCCAGATTTAATCTTGAGAACACATTCAACAGCAATGGCTGCATAGACACATCTATAAATAGCTGTTAGGAAAGATATTCTTCCATGTTAAAAAACGTCCCATCCAGCTGCTTTAGCCTCACTGTACAGCCAGCTAAACCCAGTTTAATTCCCAGAAAAATCAAAGTATATAACCATGTCAAAGTTTCCCCATGGCACAGTAAGCCAGATCAGTAATGGATGGATCTTGTTTCATTCATAATTATTACAAACTTTATTTAAATAATGATGGGACATGTCCATACACAACAGCTGCGCTTCGATCCACAAACTATTAAGCTTAATGAGAGAATTACTGGACAAAATTTACTGGTCTGTGTTAGGCATGAAGCAAGATGAGAAAATTTAACGGCCGTAAAAACCCATGGCTGTATTAATGAAAAAAAAAAATTTTGTTTCTACAAAAATGTAGAAACAATCTAACTTTCTTCAAAAAGCCTGCATGTCTATTAAGAAGGAATAGTATTTAACCACAGAACGAGGAAACTAAAAATTTCAGCCTGATGAATTTGAACTACTGCATAAGGAAAAATGCATGACAAGAAAAAGTAACAGTCTGTGAACTGACCCCGGAAATATTCAGGAAATAGCCCTTCTCCTCACATTCAGCATTTCTTACCCTGGCAAAAATGAAAAGACCATAAACAAGGAGGGGGAAAAAAAAAGTGAGTCGTGTAACAGAGGTAATGAAAAGATCTGAGACGCTCTTGTAGTAAGCGTTCTAAGAGCATCCAAGAAACCCAAGTCCCATGTTAATGTATCATTGAAAGACACTTAAATAGCGAGATCTACCTATCAATATATAAACAAACATACATCGATCTACCAGCACATGCTTTGTCCTGGGGAAGGCAGAGCGTGGAAACCAGTTGGCCACCTTGAATTCTATTCACGGCGACGGTGCAGATTTAGCATGCGACGCCGGCAAGCATCTTTTCCCTCCTTTGGCTAAACCCGTGGAAATCTCTGAGTGGAAGACGCTATTGTTAATACTATTTACCCCTTTAAATTCA